GAAACTCAGCAAGATTGCCGCCAGCCTCCTTGTCGCTCCATAACTCAAAAGTCTAATAGAACTAAAGCATTACAGAGTATTCGTTAAGCTTCCCCGATATTACCTTCATTAGCGATGTTGCGTGGTTGCTACATGGATGGTTTTCGTACTTTTGACTAATGATCCAATTGCTGGGGCCGATTTCTCACAAATGGGACCTCAGATAACGCTGTGAAACCTGAAATAATGCTTTGTAAACCAATTGAGTGATTAACAATTCGATCCATACGGCTTCGCTTTAGCTTCATATACTTCAAGCAATAACTTACTAAATAGTGAATTCCTTCCATATTTTGAACTTCAAAATATATCATGTTTGCTGAAAAAGAGGAAAGATGATTTTTCCCGCATTAGTAGAGGTCTGCTCATGCGAACAAGTTTCAGTAAAAAGCTTAGGATGGGTTTTCACTAGTGCTGCACATGAGACTTTCGTACACATACATAGTTTTAGTTTTAGGGAAACTAATAGATAACAGTCGCAAAAAGTCTGTCTTAGCGGATGGTGCCCAGTTTTGCAAAAATCCTACTTTAAAGCGAGTTTAGCCATGGTTTCTATTTATTTGTATTTTATCTAGATTTGTGAGTGGTATGCTGCATTGAGAGGGTCGTTTCGAATAAATGTTCGTCTCGGGTCAAATCACAGCTTTGTAGGCTTGTAAGAATGGTGAAAACACATTAAGGCTCCTAAACATATAAAATTATTCACAGGTCGAAGATTCACAGGTCGAAGAGCTGTGCTTGGTCAGCAGAATTGTTTTGTAACTTACCGAAACCGGGTACCTTTCTATCCTAAATAGGGTACTGACTCACCTAAACAAATACATCTTAAGGATACGAATGGCTACATGTATTACTCTGCAGCTCAGCGGTTGTTGCTAACTTTTACACCAAAAAGCTGAGGTTACAACTAAAAGCTATGATGCTATAACTCATTTCTGTGCTAAGGATTTCACGACTACTTACACTGTGCTGCGAGTCCGCTGAAGCATACTTTATCGCTGGGCAACGCTTGTCAATATACCGTGCTATCATGTTTGCTAGCTCGAGCTATGTAAGCTGTATGCCTCAAATGTTGAAAGCTTAGTACATCGTCTCACATTAGACACGCTCGCCAAAAATGGAACGGAGGGTGTTAATATTGTCTTCACTGCAGATTTGGATACCGGCATGTACAGTATCGATAGTTTTCTGTAATGCGTAGTCGGCATATTGTACTCTCAGTTTATTTCGTACACAAGAGACTTAGTGCGCTGCATTTCGACGCAACAAGCACGTTCAACGCGGATGCGTGCAAGTATATTCCAAATTGGTTTAGCACTGAAGTGCTAAAAAATATGCGCTACCAGCCCAAACCACTAGTTGTTTCAGTGAAATCAGTACCATAATCGAAAGAATCTCAAATCAAATACACCAAGGTCTTTGGCGAGTTCATGAACAGTAATTGGGTTCTGTACTTATTTATTGAGATTATTTGTAGGAATTTTCCTGGTATTTGTTATAATTATTTGGGGTAGTAAATGGTAATATATACTGGGCCCAGTGGGCGGCAACCAGTCGCTGCATCGCCTCGCGATGAGGACGCATTTGCCAAATGTGGACACTTGTAATAAAATTGCAACTGTTTCATGTTCTGAGATGGACACAGTTCTAGAAAGTGTCCATTTAGCAACAATTACTGACAACTTTTGTTTTATCGGTTCTGCTAGGCTGGACAAGCGACGCTGAGTGTGCAGCTGCCAGCGCTCGATGGACTGAAGATGTTCGTGGGCTCGGCGCGGAGAAGAACGAGGTCTTTGTCGGGTCGCCGCATAATACGTCGATTGTTGCCGAGCTGCCGTGCGTGACGGTGCGTTTGGAAGGATATAAGAGTTCATGCCTATGAAGATGGGGCTGATCTGTTTTTAAGAATGTGGCGGACGCTTTCCACGATGTGGAGTTTGTGTGGGACGACGAGTGGATGCGGTGGTATGTGGACGAAGTGCTGCTGCTGTAAGAGTTTATCCACGAGGTGGAGGAGGGGAGTAGTGCGAGCAGCGGGGGGGGGCAATGTCGTCGTGGAGTTAGCACGGAAAAGGTGCCAGTGGGGTAAAGCTGGCGGTGAAGCGGATCGAGTTGGGCTCGGCGGACGCGTCGGACCCGTTGTGCGCGCCGCGGCATCCAACCGCGAGCAATTGCCGAGCGAAAGAGTGTACGTTGTCTATCAGATGGTGGATGCGTTAGGATGTTTATTTATTTGAGGCGTTGCTATTGTGTTGCGTAGCTTTTTCTCCGCGGCTTGGGTCGGTTCAAAGTTCTCTGTCGGTGAACGAAATGGAGTCCTTCATCAACGAAATAGCCGAAGCGTTTTCGAGATGAAGTGAGCCACGTTTTCAAGCCCGAACTCGACACCACGACAGTCCACGGCTTTGCACTAGGCCTGCCTGGCCAGCAGTAGGCAGCTTAGTTTTAGTTTTAGAGGGCGGCGTTCCTCAGCTAGCTTGCGTGCAGGCCAACTAGCTGGCCGACTTGACCGACTTTAAGAGCCGCCAGCCGCCGCCCCGACCCCCCCCCCCCTACCATGGCGCGTTAGCAGCCCCTGTGGCTTCCAGCACTTCCGCCCCTGCGTCTTTACCATGCTGTCGGTGGCCTCAGCATCGGCAGAACCGGCCCTCAGCGTGGCTCAGCAGCAGCAACCACGACCAGCCCAGTCCGGCACAAGCCCCCTCCCAGCAGCCCAAGCAGACCACCTTCAGCCCACGCCCATCAAGCCGACCAAGTCCCCAAGAAGCATGCGGCCTTGCGCCGATATTGCAGCCCTTAGGCTCCCACAGCGCGTGGTGCCGGAACTAGCCCCGGCCCAAGTTCCCCGCCGCAGTATCTAAGCCGTTCCAGTAGTTCGTGCAGTCCAAGCACTCCAAGCCGTCGACGCACCGCTGTCCACCCTGACCAAGCAACCCAAGCGGCCCCAGCAAAGGCTCCAGCAGCCCAAGCACCAGCAAGGCAAGCTCCTGGCCACTGCCGGCTCCGCCGTCGGCTGCCATTGTGCCCCCACCGTGCGGTGGTCGGCATCGGCACCGGCGCGGATGCCCAGCAGCCCACGCCATGGAAGCCGCCCAAGCAGACATGCAAGTCGCCCATGCTGATCCAAACTGCATGAGCTGTACACGCTAATTCATATCTACTGGCTGTTGAATCTAGAACTTGGTGTATACAATCGACATTTTGACGACGGACTATCGCATGGAGGCCTGGCAGCGTTGGAGCTGCTGTCATCGCGCCAACTCTGGTGGTTTATGCTGGCGGTGAATCTCGACGGCTACGCGCACAATGAACTAATGCGTGTGTGAGAGCACAATAACATGAGCCAGCGCAAGAGCGCCGCGCAGACTTGCGACAAAAGCCCACCCGACGCAGGAGTTGATCTGAACCGCAATTACGATGTCTACTTCGCGATCAAAAGCAAGGGCAGCAGCGATGATCCGTGTGGTGATGATTACAATGGGCCGACCGCCGTCTAAGAGCCGGAGACGCAAGCTGCTCGCGACCTGGTGTGACTTCAGCGTGGTCCTCAATTACCACTCCTTTGGCAAGTACTTCAATCTGCCGTTCGCTTGCCAGGATGAAGGTAGCCAAACAACTCGGTGTTTGGGGCACTGGCTCGCGAGCTGGCGCATTTCAACGGATTCGGCTATGTTCAGTCGTGGAAGGAGAGCAACCTGTACACCGTGAACGGCGAGACGAGCGGCTGGATGTGGCAAGCGCACGGTATTTTCGCCATGTCCCCCGAAGTGGTGACAGCATTTAAGGTGTCGTCTGTCCCCAGATCACCGCGTGAAGACGTCTCTCACCTACCAGTATCAGCTATCAGGTATCAGCTGAGCTACACTACACGAACCTGCAGCTTGCGCGCATGGCAGGACTCGTGTACTATCTGGCTCCTGAAGAGAGTGCAGCTAGGAGCGATCGCGGACGGCGACTCGACGACTTCGTTCTTGCCTGTGGGGTGGCAGTCTCGAACAGCGGACTTCGACCTGCGTCTGCGGAGTTGTTGGGATCTGTTTATGTGAACGGAACGGGTGCCAGTGACGTTGTACATCTTGAGCTCAAGGCAGAGCCGGAGGGTTTACTTCGAGTGCGACTGAAGAGGGTTTTACGCTGATGATTCCCCATTTTGGAGACGATTTCCACCAGTCCATGAAGGAGATTGATGTCCTGTACTTGGTTGTGCGAGACGGTCTTAGCTGCCATCTCTTCCGTGCCGGTACGTTCTGCGGTGATGCATTGCACGAAATAAGTTGCTTAACTAACATTCGTTCTCGTGCGCTCTTAGCTGTTCATTTCGATACTGCTGCTGAAAAGACGAACTTACCCAACTTCCAAACGTGGACAGCACTCCCACTACCTCGTTGTGGCATATGCGAGCAGTTTGGTGCCCCGCTAACCCACCGATGGATCCACAAACAACGCCAGCACCTCTCCGATTTGCTCAGGAATATAGGACGCAGTCGTCTTGAAGTCGGTTCGCACTCGAGATACCGGCTTGTCGACGATTTCTGAACCAGCAGACTCCACTACGATCGGCTCCGCGACTCCTGCTGCATCTGTTCCAGCTCCTACTATCGAGTCCAGCCCCACTGCCACCGCTGCCAATACCAATGTCAGATCCAGCGGCAGCATTTCAACGGGAGCTGACTACGAGTTCATCATCAATTCTGCCCTCGTCTGTGTCGTGGTCGGGTCCAGTTGCGATGGCTTTGCTGTTACTGGTGGTGGTTGTGCTCTTCTTCCGCCGTCGTTGCCGGCGAACCAAGTAGAAACCTGCCAGGACCAAGGCACCGTCAGGCGGTCAGAAGAGACGCAGTAACGTGCAGTACTGGCGCACCGGTGAAGACCTGAACTCCCCTGCAGCAGGAGACAAGCAACTCACCTACGACGATGACGACGAAGAGTTTGATTTACTCGACGCAGAATGTGGAGAGAGAGGCCTGTCACCTCAAGATGAAGACGTGGTGGTGTCCAAGGATCGCAACATCTCCTTGTAGAACGTCGAAGGCATTGCGTTCGTCTGACGAAGAGGTGGTCCAGAACCTGGAGGCTAGACGTGGTGGAAGGTTCGAGTGATGTATGATAACGTGCGTTGTGTTGAGTATGTGGGCTCTGATCTTGTCGGCTATATTTTGCTTGCTACCTTCAACGCAGGTTTGCAAGGACAACAACAACGGTGGCATCTTATTCAAAAATATCCTCTAACCTCTCCCTCTGCTTCAGTCATGCTTGGCTAGATCGGATGGTCCCGCAGTACACGCAGTGGTGGCGCTCGACTGCTGGATCCAACGCCAACGACGACGACTATCGCGCAGTTCTACAACAACTCGCAGACGCTACAGGCAGCCAGCAAGTCGTCTAAATCTTGGAGCCCGACGCGATCGGTCTTCGGTCTTCTTGCTGATGGAGGCTGTGGCGATGCCATAGGTTACGCCGATAACCTCAGGGTGGCAATGGACATCCTCTCGCAGAACCCCAATGCTGAAATCTACCTGGATATGGGGTGCTGGACGCTCTCCGACGATGACCAGGCGGCCGCTGTCGCGAAGATTGTCAACGCCGTGGACCCGAGCTACAAGTGCAAGGGCATCTCGCTCAACACGTCGAACTATCGCTCCAACGCGGAAATGGCGGCTACGTGCGAGCGGTTCGTCAAAGCCAGCGGCCGCGAGTACAAGTGCATTGTGGGCACGTCAGGCAACTTCGTGAGTCCATCTACCACTGAGCGAGACCTCGCACGAGCGAGCGCCGTGTCCGGGGTAAGGAGGCGCCAACCACCACGAATGCGCTGCCTGCCCGAAAGGCTCGGCCATGTCTTCCTCACTACTTTGGTGAAGAAATGGCCGATTATTTTCTCGAGGGACTGCGGACTGCTGGCTGCTAACTGCTGGCTGCTAACTGCTGGCTGCTAACTGCTGGCTGCCCCCACCCGACGGACGGACGGACGGACGGACGCCATCCAATCGCACTCGCCGTGTTGTGGAAATAATCGCATTCGACAGGGGAAAGCTTGGGCTCGCTTTCGCAGAAAATGGCTCGGAACCCCGTTGAATCTGCTGCCCAAGGGCCTCTCGAGCAGCCAAAGTCTCGCAGGTTTATCGAGTTTTCAGCCAAGTTTTGCTGAGACCGGGTTGGTTCTCGGGGACAGGAGCTCGCGACGGAGCCCGGCCCGCGCAAACGACTGGCGCGGAGGCTCGCTCGCCTCGGTCGAGGTGCTCAGATACGCCGCTCACGACCAAGCAAGGAAGTCCCCGTCTTGGACCCCTCGCCGCCAGCTTCGACGCCCAAGTTATCAGGTCCATGCACGGTCTCTTGGGCGACGACCGCCGTGCCTGGCAGGCAACTCCATGGGTAAGCTTGGTGTGCTGCGACGCCTTTTGTAAGTACGATCGTGTAACTTGCTCGTTATGTTTGCACCTTTTGATGATCGCAGGTTGAAGCGGCCTTGAAGCTCAACCAAGCCAACAGCAGCAAGTGGCTTCACTTGGCCTGTGTACGCTAACCCGGCATGTTATAGAAGCCAAAGAAACCGCAATGCGTACACTAGTAAGTTATTGTGTTCACCGCCGCCTACCTAACTGTCTATCTATTCTGTCTACTTATCTATTAACTTCAACGTATGCACGTGCTCATGTTCAGTGCCCAACCAGAGCCCGAGGCCATCGCCGCAAGCCTCCCAAGTTCCCACGGACCCCACCAGGCATCGTCACTGTACTAGTGGCTCGGACACCGGAAACTTCGTGCCCGGCATGCTCAAGAGTTTCATACTCTTCCTCGACGGCAAGGCGGGCTACGCTGCCAGACGTGATACGCTGGACCAAGTTTTCGTCGTGATTTACCACCCGATTTGGAGTGGATAGGGCGGGAGTGTCTAATATAACTTCACCAAGTACATTACGGTGTAATATTCTGATTTATATATATTATAATGGAGCAGCTCACTGAGTTTGGATTGAATCAGGATCAGTTTGTCGCAGCTTACTGATTTTGAGTAACTTTCGCGAAAGGTCGCGAATTGTGCCGGGGCGAATTTTGGGAAGTGATGCGTTCATGGCATCCTGTAGTCTGACAAATGCGAAAGAATTGTACTGTAGTTCTACTTGAGCCATTTACACAATGCGGGCACCTTCAGCCTCAGGCGAATCTCCGCTAGAGGCAACCAACGTCTCCTGGTCTCACCGGCGCGTGCAGAAGCTGCAGCAGGAGGCCGTCGACAGCGGCGCCAAGAACGCCGCCGTGGAGATGCGCTGGGCCGACCTCTTCGAGTTCAGCATGCCGCAGGAGCTGCACAACGAGCTGGAGCTGCAGAACCGGGCGTGCGCCGAGATCTTGGCAGGGACGCGGTGATCCGCGAGTTCCAGAACCAGCTCAAGGCCAAGGACGAAGAGTACGTGGCGGCGCTCAAGGTGCAGGCCGAAGAGGTAGAGAAGCTGGTGGATCGGATGAGTCAGCAGTACCGGGAAATGCAGGATGAGTACGAGCTTGAGCTCGAGCAGATGGAGGACGCCTTCCTCAAGGAGCGCGACGAGCGCATCGCCAACAACAAGCTCGAGATCGACTCGCTGTTCGAGCGCAGACGCGAGATGGAGATGGTCTACATGGAAGCCAAGCAGACGCGCGACGAGCAGTATCTGCAGGAGATTGAGGAGCTACGAGTGCGCGATGCGGAGGACTACAACGAGCTCAAGATCAAGCTCGAGACCAACATCCAGACGCTCGAGCAGCAGCTCGAAGAGATGCGCGCCACGTACCAGCTCAACACGGAGAGGCTCGAGTACAATTACCGAGTGCTGACGGAGCGCGACATGTTGAACTCGGCCACGCTCAGTCAGCAGAAGCGGAAGCTGTCTCGACTGAAAGACGCGCTGGCCACTCTGATCGCCAAGTACAACCAGACCGACGCTCGGGACCGACACCAAAACGAGGAGCTCACGGAGGAGTATCGGCGCCTCACGAAGCAGTACCTCGACCTGCAGCGGAAGTACGCGCACTTCGAAACCAGCGACAGCAACAAGTACGACGAAGTGTGGCAGATGCACGAGGAGGACGCGATTCACAAGATCGAGAAGCTGCTGGACGCCGATCGCGTCATCCACGAGCAGCAGCTTGGCCTCGCGTGGCGGCCACCGGCTCAGTCCATCCGTAACTGGAGTCAGTCTGCAAAGGCTGGCGATGCGGCAGCTCTCCAGAAGCAGCTCGAGAACGGAGACGAGTCGTCGCCCGATTCCAACGAGAGCGACAAGGGCGGCAGCAGGCGAGACGACAATGGCGCCAACGCCGACCAGGACGATTTCGACGACGAATCGGTCGAAGCCTACACGCCGCCAGTCAAGAAAATATCGGGCGCGAAGCTCAAGTACATGCTGAAGATGCTCGCGTCCGAGGCTGGCTTCCTGGTGTCGTTCTGCAAATATTGCCTATATTAAAAATGATTTTAAATCTTATTTAATTTTAGCACCGGAAGGTTTAAAAATTAATCAATATATTAGTGTTATAAACTTTTAAACAAATTCCTTTACGTTGAGCTGCTGAGAAATAAGCTCTAGTATTCTCTAAATTGAGCTAATTCTAATTTCATAGTACTTATCAGGCTCATAATCTGAAGATGTACGGGCGGTGTGTACAAAGTCCAGTAACATATTCACCGCAGCATAAAAAATAATAAATATTCTTATAAAAATAAGAATAATATTTATTATTTATTAGGTGAAAAAAAACCCTTAAAACCATTAACAACTACCTATTTACATAGAAATAAAAAAATTAAAACAGGTATTTTTTTTAAAGAACCTGCATTTAAAAGTATTTTGCCCATACAATTGAACCTAATAAACCGATTGATAACATTGCATAAACCATTCCTAAATAACCAACCTTAAAAATTAAAAAAAAAAAAGTGGGGTGAAGGTAAAACAAGTGGTGGACCGCCGTTTACTGGGACTTCCATTTAATGCGCAAACATCTCCTTTTAATCTTCACGGCAGCGTGCAGCAGGCGCTGGAGAATTTGCCCGATGACGAGGCGGAGCTTGTGAACATGATCGTGCGCGCGCTCGGTATCGACAACGAGGAGGACATGGAGAAGCTCATGGGGTACTTCTTCGAGGACCCGCGACAAGAGGTTCCTGGTAGTGGTGACAACAACCGGGAGGGCAATTCACCCGGCAAGGACGGGGCCAAGACATCGTGGGGCCTTATGGTCGGCCCGGAGGACGTCATCCGAGTCATCAAGCAGTTCGTTGAGGTTCGTCGCTGCAGACATTGCTGATGTTTGCTCTGCATGGGTATTGTGAGTCCATTTCGCTTAAGTAGCACTTCAACTTCGCTTTCGCCTGTCACTGGTAGAGCTGCATCTGCGTGGGCGGCACGATGAGGTCCTCGTTGATGGGGCGGCCAGGTACTGCTTGAGCAGGTTCTTGAGCTCTGCGTTCTGCGCCTTCATGGCCGTCACCTCGTCGATCAGCTCCTTGCGCCGCAGCAGCGCCGTGTTGTAGTGCGTCAGCCCCTTCTCGAGTGTAGCCATGACGCGGATCTTCTGCGGGGAACACCTTGACGATGTTGGCCCAGTATTCCTTCTCCGCCTTCCGGGCTCTGGCCTTGAGCGCAGCCGAGCTGGTGCCTTTTGTGGCCTTCTTGCCGCCCTCCGTGTCGCCGCTGACTGAGCGGTGCAGGATCCGAGCAACAGGGGCAGCGCGCTTCAGCGCATTTGTCTCCTGGAAATGTACACTGCAAACCCAAACAGTTAGTTCAGCACAGATGTACAGTACCAATATAAGACACGAGTGTATCCTTATTCGAAACTAAGGCGTTGATACGCTGACTCATTTTTCAGAACTCTTTCAACCATCGTCATGACCCGAGTCGGCTACGTCGCGCTCTTCTTCGTGAGCGCCGCGGCCGCAGGGCTGCTGCGCACCTTCGGCCAGAGTATGCATCAGCACACCCTCAATCCCCTCTGTCCTTGTATACTTGAGTGAGTGCGACTGATACCTTCAATGCTGCAGACGTTCTGTCGAGACTCGGCGTCTTCGACGAGTGCGACGACTCGGCGTACCCGAGCACCTGCGTGGGCAACCAGTTGGTCTACCGCATCAGCTTCAGCCTGGGCTGCTTCTTCACGCTCACGGCGCTGCTGAGCTGTGCCGTGGCCAGAGGCTGCGAGAGTGTCTGCTGCATGCTGCTGTTCCAGCTGCCGCTCTACCTTGGCATGGTGCTGGCGTCGCTCTTCATCCCCAATGGTAGGTCACTTCTGTGGAGGTAGAGCAGATCGTAGTACTGCACAGTGCTAAATTGTTGTGAGTGTGTGGGGGTAGATTTCTTCGACGGATACGTGGACATAGCGCGCGTGGCGTCGGCACTCTTCATCATCCTGCAGATCATCATCATCCTGGACTCGACGTGTAGGATAAAGTGACTCGAGTTGGTGACGCCGCTCCTCCTCCTCGACGCGGTGGTGGATGCCCGCGTGCTTGCGGCGGTCCAGCTGGTTGAGGCTGTCGGCCACCTGCTGCTGGCCGCGGCTCATGCGCTGCGACTCGCCGCTTCTTGCGCGAGGCGTCATCCTTGGACGCGTTGCGCGCATCGCGGTCGCTCGCCTCGGTCGCCGCGTCCGCGTGCGCCTTGGACGACGACGCGGACGTCGAGTCCATCGTCATGGCGGCGCGGATGCAATTAGTACTCGCGGTTGCAACAACGGCAACGCCAACAGGCCATCAACATCAACTTATTCCCGATGTCAGGATTATGATTCATACCAGGAATATGCGTTTACATAGGATTATTCTCAAGGATGGTATAGCGCCTGGTGTTCAACACATTTTTCCAGTGCAGCATGGACGAGCAGAGCGCCACTACCGCCGCCGCCGCCGCCGCCGCCGCGACGATCGCCCAGGCCACCAAGAATGGGCAGCAGATGCTGGCACACTTGCTGGCCACGCGTACCACGTGCTGGACGAGACCAAGCACATGAACCTGAAGCCGCCGCTGCGCCCGAGCTCCAAGCTGTTCGCCGCCGACGCGCCTCCCGCGCCCAGCTCGCCGACGCGCCGCAGGATGAAGCGCTGCCGGAAGTCAACGGACTCGCCGCGGGTTTCGCCGGCAGTCACGCGCACGCCGGCGGCGCCCAGGGCCACCCCATCGTGATCCCGTACTCGCCCGAGGAGATCCAGGACACGTACTCGAAGATAGCGGCGCTCAAGGCCCAGTACATCAAGATCAGTGCCGAGCTGCTGCAGGCCGTGAAGGAGGTGGAGAAGAAGCAGGAGCCGCAGCAGGACGACAAGGTAAGAGAAGGCTGCTAGCTGTGTTGAGTGGGAGGGGTCTGACCTGTTGCTCTTGATGCTGCAGGACGCGACGGCGAAGCTCGTGCAGACGAGGAATCAGCTGCGCAAGGTGCGGAACACGCTACTATCGGCGTATGGAAGTTATGGTGGCTATGAATTCTGATGATCCTTGTGTTGTTGTGGAGAGCAGGAGGTTTATGAGAGAAACTTGGTCATGAAGGGGCTGATCGACCGGCTGCGTAACCAGCAGCACTCGATCCGGCTGATGAAGGGAGGGAGCGCGTACCCGCCGAACATTGTCATGGAGAGCGTATAGATTCGTAGCGTCGACATGCGTTCTTTCTTCAATTTAAAGCTGTGCGCTGCGCTTTCAGCATGCTGTCGACGCCTTTAATGATTGTTTTCCGCGCAGAGCTCATCTATGATTGCATTTCATCGGCAATGCAGCTTAAGCCGTAAACGGCAGGCTGCCGCTTGCCGGTAATTTCTAACTTGGTTAGCTCGCGCTTCGCGAAACCGCGTGAGCGACGACGCGGCTGCAGGAAAACATTACCAGCTAGGGCGTTCTTGCGCCGAGACGGGTCCTTGACGTTCGCGTGGCCGTAGGGGCAGTGGCGGCACCCGTTGCCACAGCAAACTTGCCGCTCCGTCAAGATGTACGCTGCCATAACGGAGTAACCCGTGGCTGGATCTGTGTACATGGCCTGCTTGCTGGTGCACGCAGCTTGATGCAGCTCCTCGATCTCCAGCAACTCCGCCGACTTGGTCTCCTCAGCCTTCGAATCCCTCGCAACCAGCGACGTGTCGAAGAGTTTGTACGGGAACGTCGAGTCCTTCATCCAGCCGCTCTCCGGTTCATGCAGCGCGTGCACGAGCCACTCCAGCGCCACCAGAAGCCGCCTCGTCAGACGAGTGAACATGGACGTGCCGTCCATAATGAACACCTTCGGATGCGCTTCACCCTTCAGCAGCGACGTCCACCAGTCCCCGACGCGTCCTTCCAGCAGCTCCGTCTCCGTCTTGTCCAGACTCAGTCCGCACAGTGCCACGACCACCACGTCCACTTCTCCCCCATCCTCCAGGTCCTCCACCACGTGGCCTCCACGATCTCCCGCATCCAGCCTTCCGTGCCGAGGAACAGCGGCTCGAGCCACTCCACCATCAACACCTTCGCTTTCCTACCATTACTATCTACAAATACTCTATCCTGCTCCTTCAACTGCTGCAGTCTGCTGTAGTGTTGCTGGGCCATGGCCTCCCCCACCTCCGTCACGCCCAGCGCCTCGCCGAGCTGCTGGAACTGCTTCACCAGCGCGTCCTCCAGGCTCTTGGGGTTGCACGTCACGATCTGCGTCAACTGGCCGCCCGCGCGCAGTTTCGCAGCCCTCAGCAGCTGCGTCATTGGCAGCGCCATTGGGGGGCTGCACAAGTTGCTCGTCAGTGCCGCTGTCCACGGCCGCGTGGACGCTGGAACGCTTTTAAAACCTCACCGGCACAACAGCAACACACAGCACTACATAACCCTGCAGAAACTTAACGATGAGGTGACCCTTCACATCAGCGAGTGCTTCAGCGTACGCAATCATGATGAATTGCATACAAAGACGAAACATTGATTATTCTACGCCCGAATGATTATTCGACGCATCTCGCCGTTCGTAAGGGTGTCACGGACACTACTCGATGCAGCATATTGTCGAGCCGCATTTCGCGGTTTGCCAAGACACCCACAAGCGAGACCCAGTGAAGTCGCGTCATGTTGAGGAAGTCGGAGCTCACCCCCGAAGATGCAGGCGCCTACCAGCGCGTAGAAACTCCTCGCGCCGTTGCTGTCGACGTCCAAGCGGGTGGACACCCCAAGCTACGGCACAAGCAGCGACTCTGGGGCCAAGGAACCGGACCTTCGTCATGAAATGGTGCACGATGGCCCCACCTCCTTCAACTTCAGCAACTTGTACCGCTACGCCACAAAGTTCTACTCGCGGTCGGTATCATCACGACGGGAGCCAATGGCGCTTTGTTCCCCCTCATGGCCATTGTCTTCGGCGATGTATTGACGGGGTTCACTACCACGCCTGTGGACATGGACAAGGTCAACAGCGCGGCTCTCGACTATCTGTATATCGCCATCTTCCTCTTCATCACGGACTACGTCTCGTACGTGGCGTTCTACTACAGCGCCGAGCGACAGATAAAGGCACTGAGGGGTGAAGCGCTCAAGCACATGCTGTACATGGACATCAGCTGGTACGACGCGCACGACGTGCTGCAGTTGTCCAGTCGGTTGACGGGCGGACACGGTGAGGATCAGGGACGGCATGGGCCACAAGCTCGGCGATTCGTTTCGATACTCGATCCAGTTTGTCGTGGGTTTTATCATCGGATCCGCCCATGGGTGGGATATCACGCTGGTGATGGCGTGTGTGATGCCTGTCATGGCGCTCTCGCTCAGCTGGATGATCAAAACGTTCACGATCATGTCGGACTTTGCCCAGAAAGTGTATGCTGAAGCAGGATCAGTGGCCAAGGAGACACTGGGCTCTATCCGCACTGTGGCTTCGTTGAATGGAGAGCAGAAGGCAATTGAGAAGTTTGAGAGCAAGATTTTCAAGGCAGAGACGGAAAACATCAAGCTGAACATGGTGGTGACAGTGGTGTATGCGCTGTTCTTGGCTAGTATGTGGATCATGTACTCCGTCGGACTCTGGTACGGCGGGTGGAATGCTTCAAAGGGGGAACCAACGCCGGGGGGTGTTTTCGCTGCCTTCTTTGGCGTCATGATGGGAACAGGTTCTCTCGGCCAGGTTTCCCCGAGTGTTTCCGCTGTGGCTAAGGCCGCTGGTGCTGTTGAGCAACTGTTCTCGATCCTGGACACTGCGAGTGCTATCGATGCGGAGAAAGAGGACGAGGGAATCATTCCTGACACGTGTGAAGGCAAGATCGATGCGGTGAACGTCAACTTCACGTACCCGAGTCGTCCTGACGCCCAGATCCTGCGCGACTACAATGTCACCATTGAGCCTGGTCAGACCGTGGCTTTCGCTGGTGCCAGTGGCGGCGGCAAGAGTACGCTGATTGCTCTGATTGAACGCTTCTACGACCCCACCAGCGGCACCATCTACCTCGACGGACGGGATGTTAGACACTGAACGTCAAGTGGCTGCGCTCGCAGATCGGCATGGTGTCGCAGGAACCTGTGCTGTTCGCCACGACCATCTTCGAGAACATCGCCATGGGTGGCGACAACGTGACCCGTGAAGAGGCCATCGAGGCCTGCAAGCTGTCGAACGTGCACAACTTCATCATGTCCTTGCCGGAGCAGTACGACACGCTGGTGGGCGAGAAGGGCGTCTCTCTATCTGGCGGCCAGAAGCAGCGAGTCGCCATTGCCCGTGCCATTGTCCGCAAGCCCAACATTTTGGTGCTGGACGAGGCCACGAGCGCGCTGGATAACGAGAGCGAGAAGATTGTGCAGGCAGCGCTGAATAACCTGATGGCCACGACCAACATGACCACTCTCGTAATCGCCCACCGGTTGAGCACCATCCGCAACGCGGACAAGTTCGTGGTGGCCACATTGTGGAGAGCGGCACGCACGACTAGCTCTTGAAGATCGAGCACGGCGTCTACCAGAACATGTACCGGATCCAGGAGCTGCGATCTCAGGAGGAGCAGCAAGAAGCGGAGAAGCGTGAGGCCGAGAACGGACTAGAGAGTACGAAGATGACACGGACATTGAGTGGGGTATCGGCTAAGACTGACATTTCAGTGAGCGCGGTGGAGACAAACTTCTTGGACAAGAAGCCGTTCAACCTGTTTGATTTACTGAAACTCAACGGACTCGCGCGGAACCACTTTGTCTTTGGGCTGGTCGGTTCCTGCGTCGGAGGCATTGCGGTGCCAGCTTCAGCCCTATTAATCACGGGCATGATCACTGCTATGACGGAACAATACGCGCTCTTCGAGAGGACCTGGGGACCGATCTCACCTGACAACGTTGTACAACGACGTAGAGCTGTATGGTATTCTCTACCTCGTCGGCGCTGCAGTGATCGCGATCTTCACGTATCTGCAAATGAACTGCTTCAAGTACATGGAGGAGAAGATCACGACACACTTGCGCACCGCCAACTTCAGGGGCTTGTGTTGACAGAATGTTGGCTTTTTCGACGAGAAGGAGAACGCGACTGGCGCGTTGACTGCTGATTTGGCTACGAACGCCACCAAGGTTTCGCTGATGTCTGGAGAGTCCCAAGCTGCGTTTACCCAAGCTGTCTTCACTTTGATCGCTGCGCTTGTCATCTCCTTCGGGTTCGGAAGTTGGCTGCTATCGCTCATCATGCTGGTGCTTATCCCCATGTTGATTTTCGGGGAGGTGGCGCGTATGAAGGAGATGGAGGATGCTGGTTTGATTTCAGATGACTTGGCAATCCCAGGAGCCCACGCGTCAGAAGTCCTTGTGAACATCCGCACGGTTGCCGCTTTGGGTATCGAGAAGAAGTCTGCCACCACGTTTAATGAGCTGCTTCAAGAACCGCTGCGCAAGGGCCGGAAGGAAGAGCAGGTTAGTGGTCTGTCGCTGGGATTCAGCTCCTTCATCATGATGGCCACGTATGCGCTCGTGTTTTGGTTTGGAGCCAAGAAGGTGAACGACGGCACCGTTGGTTTTGCGGAGATGATGCGGACATTGATGGCCATCACGATGTCGATCCAGACGGTCAGTTTTTGCCTCCCGATTCTTGACTGACGGACCCAAAGCGTTCAAGGCCGGATCGACGATTTACGCACTTCGTGATCGCGTCGCCCCAATTGATTCATTCACCTCCGACGGATTCCGTCTAGCCAAGGTTGCGGGCCGCCTCGAGTTCAAGAACATCTCGTTCCGATACCCCACGCGCCCGGAGATCAACGTGCTCAAGAACTACAACCTCACTATTGAACCCGGCCAGACGGTGGCGTTCTGCGGCCCTAGTGGTGGAGGCAAGAGCACTATCATCTCGGGGATCGAGCGGTTCTACGACCCCGTGGTTGGCGAAGAGCTGCTCGACGGCCGCAACATCAAGGACCTGAACCTGAACTGGCTGCGCAGTCAGATCGGTCTGGTGGGCCAGGAGCCCACACTGTTTATCGGTACTATCGCCGAGAACATCGCGTACGGTCTGGCCGAGCAGCCGAGTCAGCAGGAGATCGACGAGGCCGCTAAGATGGCCAACGCGCACGACTTCATCACGCAGTTCCCGGACGGCTACGAGACGCAGGTGGGCATGAAGGGCGAGCAGTTGTCTGGCGGCCAGAAGCAGCGCATCGCCATCGCGCGTGCGATCCTGAAGAACCCCAATATTTTGCTGCTGGACGAGGCTTTGAGTACTATACAAGTAGATTTGCTTTGGGATTTAGCGTGTCATGCATTTTAGGTTTTGAACGAGATAGTGGTAGCTACTATACAATCTAACTTCGCAAGTGCTAGAGCACTTCCGAGCCGAAATACCAGAAAATGTAAGTTGATGGAGTCGTAGATTTCGCATTCTTAATAGGGTCGCTTAGGTCCAACTGTTACAATCCTACTTTTCATCATGTGAGGTGTCAGTGTCAGCTGACTGATGCCTTTCAAGGCAGGTCCGCACTAGATTGCAGACCAACGTACTGATATCGGACGCGCGCATGTCATAGGCGACGGGCATATTTCCCTTCATTAGGTTGACAGAGTTAGGGTTGTCCACCGAGTGACTAGAGTGACTATGGCTAACCTGAAACGCTACTTGGTATAGCCCTGGCTCCAGATTCCTGATGATGCCATCATCTCCGATTGAATAGTTTTCCAGCATTGACCAAAACAATTTTACGTTATGCGTGAAGTTGCCTCCAACCGAATGGTCTCATGACGCTCTGCAGCTGATTCGAGCCCCTCGATGTCGTTCTGCAACCTCGAAATCACTTCTTCGCGACCTGACAAATGTTGCCGGAGGTTCTTCAGTTCTTCCGATGCAGTGATTAGCTCAGTTTGAAGTGACCCCACTTGGTTTCGAAGATCAGCATCCGCGACTTCGCGTTCCGACAGGTCACGTTGAAGCTTCTTCACCACGTCTTGCAGCTCTGCTACTATCGTGTTGACTGCCGCGTCACTTCGGAGATCTTTCACCTCGTCCTGTAGGTCGCGCAGCTTGGCCTCGAGAATATCAACCCGCTCGACCGAAATCGGCTCCAAGTCGAACGCGTACGTCAGCATACGAGGGCGCAGCATCGCTTGAATCTTGACCGAGAATTCCTGCTGCAAATGGCTCTCCTCTGTGCTCTGCAGAGATCGTGGAAGCTCACTTGCGTCTTCGACAGCTCGATTCAGTAACTCACGGAAGCACTGCAGTCAGCAGGGTACGTGGATCAACCCCGAAATTTCAATGTGATCTGACGTAATAGTATGAACGCACCTCGATGCAGTCAACGGCACCACATCCGGAATGTAGTTGGAGGGGTTAACATAGTCGATAAGTATTAAGTCGTTCGTGCACCTGCGGTCAGTAGCGATTGATCAGATCGCCCGCGGTATAATATTTGCACAACTTACCACTGTTTCTTGCTTTCGCAGTTCTCGAGCCAGATGCGTAGCTTGCCGCTTCTCAGTGAGAGCGAATAGCGGTAGGGCTGCGTCGGTGGGAGCGCAAAGGTCGTAGTGCCTTCGTATTCGATGCTTTTCGTGCACGACGGCCTCGGTGACAGATTGGACCGGCACGCCTAAATTGGTATCTTGAGCAGAATGCTTGGTTACTGGCAACCTTCGCGAAGCCGGACTTCTACGGAAAACGTCGTGCAAATCAGCCGTTTTGTATGGAATTCAGGGTGCAGCACCCTGAATTCCATACAAAACGGACCGTGCCGCAACGGCAACGGAAATACTCGAGAATCACCTCGTCGTTCTTGTTGCGACACGGGCGGAAGTAAAACCCCGAGACTTGGGAGTTCATGTAGGTAGGGCGAGGGGGGCGGATAGCGCGAACCATGCTGGATGAGGTCTTGGAGGCTTGAGAAGTGAAAATTGAAAAGTGAGCGCTGCCAAATGAGCTGCAACTAGCAACGCAGACAACCAGTGATTCCAGTTCTTCTGAACGACTGGAAGCGAGAAGATGGCTGGTAAAACGCTAACAGTATTATATAAAGGTAACTGTCATAAATTATGTAATATCACAAAGCACATCAATAAATTATCACGGTAGATGGCTGAACCCGCCGAAATGCGTAATTTATTGTTATTTTCTGAAATAATGTTATTGACAATGCTATTTTCGGAGACCCTGAGGGTGCTCATTGACCGGCGAATTCCACGAATGCGAAAATGTCAGGCATACAAACATCAAATGAAACGGCCCCATAATGCAAAATGTAGTGGAATTCATCGTGCAGTTTGCACGAAGCATTTTGTAGCGCATATTTGGTACATCTTGCGAAAGTAGAAACGCCGACGCTCGTGTGCAGGTAGTAATGCAGAGCTTCGGCGGTATATGCGGAGATTGGAGAACTGCTGATGACCAGCAAGTACGTAGCTCTGTCGACACGGTAAGTTTTAATTTGTCAGATCTTTTGTCTGAGCAGGTGAAGTAAGTTAAATAAAATGATTGTTCCTTTTCTTCTGCGTTGAGCAAGGGAAACTTTGTTGATTGTCGTAGACACTGCCCATGCACATAGGCCAGCTTTAGCTAAGACCTACTACGTTGATTGAGCGGTAGTTTACTTCGATAAAGCTCCAGCGCGCGTGTAAAGTTCCGCGTGCTGCATTATCGTCGAGTCCACAGCCGATTCGTGTCCGGTCTGGTCGCAGCAAAACTTGAATCGAGCCAACACCGCAGCACCGGTTGTCTCGATCGCTTCCATCGCCGTTAGTGTGCCGTTCGAGAGTCTCATCAAAAGCTACCTAGAGCAAAGAACGAACGCCCCGAGCTACTACCAGCGTCGCTGCCCGGGTCCAGCAGAAACTCGTTTCTGAATTGGCTACTTCCGCGTTCAGAACGGCATGGCATTTTCTGAGCCAGAGGTGTAAAACCTCTTCGATATGCCCGAGCTGCCGATGCAACCAAGGGCAGCGGCGCCCTTGTATCCCACGGACCAGTGATTTTTGGCGCCGAGTAAACGGCGATGCCATCGCCCGTCGAGAAGCGGAAGTACGTGCCATCAGCGCGACGGATGATGCTCGGATCGTTCGTGTTCACGCAGACGCCTGAACATGCCTCCGGGTTGACGTACGTATCGGCAGCTGCGCTCCACCAGATGTGTTGTGTGATGCGACGACGCTCGCCCACGCCGCCGTCCGCTGCGCTGCTATCTACGACCAGCTTCGCAACCTTAGAGACGCTGTCCCCGCGTCACGCGAGTCTCTAGGGCTATTATGAAGCAAGGTAGTGCCAGGTAAACGTAGTGGGTGTCGACAGAGATGGCCTTCTCCGCACTTGTCACTCGTTAAGCACATGAATCGAGAGCTTTCGTAGATATCTTGCTGAAGAGCTTTGGAGAGAGCTCTCAGCTCTAAGAGCTGAGCTCTTTGAAGTGTCACGTTGAACTCGTCAACGTTGTCAGAAATACCATAGAAATATCATAGAAACGTTTCTATATTTCTTGATTAGCGTCTTGAATGAGTGAGGCGATGGACGGTCCTAGAAACTATGCCCCAGGATGACCCGTATTCTTAGCTCTTAGCTCTGATGCATGGTTTTATCCATAGAACGACAGATAAGATATAACTGGAACATGAGTTATGATCAACAAAGTTGCTGTGTGTCTTGAGTTTGTGTTAGAGCATGGCAGCTCGAATAGTTCTCCACCGGTGACCAGAAGCACTTACTCCCGCACATGGCAGTTGCCTCTAACTGAATGAATTCAGGACTCGCACCAGTTAATCCGTGGACCTTGGAGCTACACTTTACAGTGCGTTGGGGCTTCATCACTTCGGCCTTCAGTAACTTAACTTGGTGTTGGAGATCTTAAATCACTGCTTCGCGGTTCGACAGACCACGTTGGAGCTTCTACACCGAGTTCTGTAGCTCCACCACTACGAAACCTGCCCCAGCGCCATGCCGAAGATGCTGCACCTCGTCCTGTAAGTCGCGCAGCTTGGCCTCGAGTACATTGATTCGCTCCACTGAGATCGGCTCCAGATTGAATACATAGGTCAGCACGCGAGGGTGCAGCATCGCTTGAATATTGACCGAGAATTCCAGCCGCAGCCGATCATCTTTTGTAGACTGCAGAGACCTTGGGATATCGCTTGCGTCTAGGACAGGGCGACTCAGCAACACTGTTACGAAGGAATATACGGATCAGTATCTTACTTCAACGCCATAGCATAATGTACGGACGTACCTCAATGTAGTCGAGAACGCCTACATTCGGTATGTAGTTGGTCGCGTCGACGTATTCCACAAGAACAATGCTCCTACAACACCCAAGGATGAATATTGGGTCAATACCATAACAATTCAAGTGTAAGATCGATTAGAAGACAACATTACCATTGCTTCTTGTTGTCGCAGTTCTCGAGCCAAGCTCGGAGCGTACAGCTCTTCAAAGAGAGCGAATAGCGGTAAATCTGCATCAGCTGCGGTGCGAAGGTCGTAGTGCCTTCATACTCGATATTGTCGTGCGTGACCGCCACGGCGACGGGTTGGACAGGCACTGCCGTGGTGGTTCCTTGGACAGAGGCACCGGGTACCGTCTCAAAGCCGGACATCTTGATTAATGCGGTGTTCGACGAACGTGCCCTAAACATTCTCAGACGACCAAGATGGTGCTGCCAAAGTACTCGGTTCTGGCGGATCGGCTTATCGCACATAAGCCAAGATGGGGAGTCAAGACGCTCGCAACGAACTGGATAAAACCAGCGGACAGAGTATTCTCACGAATAGTGCTTACCGGTAGTCATTGAATTGTAGATAAACCAGAGCAAAATCTGCAGCCTTAGTGGCATAGTAAAAAAAAATTATAATCGGACCGTGTTGGTACAGCCAAGGGAACCACTTCAGCTTATCACTGCAGCCTGAGTGACTATCTACCTCTGTCGTCTCCGACACGCACTAATCTAGACAGTCAACTTCGCGGGGAGAGCGAACGTCATGTAACCACTCGAGACGCTGCCATTGACGTGAACGGAAACTTGGTCACCTGCACATGGATGATGCTGGACAAAGAGAAAACCATCGGTGCAGCAAATAATGCGGTTGCCTTTATTCAGCTGCATTTTGCCATTGCCACTCGTTAAGTGCACCGGAACGTTCACTTGGTAAATGTCTGGATTCAGATCGTGAAAAACTCCGTCGAGCACTTTGAGATGTTCGCAACGCCAGAGAAGCAGTCCTTCAGGGCCTAACTGACTTGTTGCTCGCGCAAGAAAGACGCTTAGAGCTTTTACGGACCCGCACAGCGTCTTCACCTCAGTTCGCAAATCCGAGATCATTTTTTGCATCTCCTCTTGCGCGGAGTTTCTCCCAGCAGCCTCTGCTTTAAGCAGCTTCACTTCCTGTTGCAAATCTTGAAGCTTTGACTCCAGAACATCGATTCGCTCCACTGATACCGGCTCCAAGTTGAAGGTGTACGTCACTACTCGCGACTTCAACAACGCCCTCACCTTCACGTAAAACTCGAGCAGCAAGTGATCGTCTTTTACTTTGCGAAGAGCTCGCGGAGGGTTTTTGACACCCTCCAGAGATGATGAGAGTAGCTCATGGAAACACTGTTCAACATTGTAGCAAGGGTAAGCCCACGAAGGTTTTGTGCACTCACACAAGAAGATTTATACTACCTCAGCGTAGTCGGGCGCACGGGCGTCTGGGATGGAGTTCGATCCATCGACAAATTCTTCTTGGTCCAGCTCTTGTGTGCACCTTAGAAACATCGAGTTAAAACGGAGAAAACATGAGCTTGTAGTTTAATATGTATTGCGCTTGAAAACGGTCTTACCAACGCTTCTTGCTGTCGCTGCCTTCGAGCGTGATTCGAAGTTTTCCGTTGTTTAAGGAGAGGGCGTAGTGATATTTATGTGTCGGCGGAGCAGAGAAGGCTGTGGTGCCCTCAAACGTCCCTGGTGTTTGTAGGGTGGACTTCACCATGCTTACAGCCAGTCCGAAAGGTACCGACGACATAGCGGCTGAGCTGGGTAGCTCGAAGTGATCTCGTGTCGGCGCCAATTGACTTGTGGGAGACCGACACCCCTACTACGTAGTATGCTAAAAGTGGTGGGGATCGCTATAAAAAGTATTCGTCTTATCCAGGGCAAGAAGAATACGGGTTGATCAAGCAGGAAGCCATGAAGAAGGCCAGCACATGAAGATTCGAAACGGGCTTTACATCTACATATGCATAGAAATCGTAACATTGGTACAAGCTCTGTAGTCTATTCAACATCCCCGATGCGAGTAAACGTAATCGAGGTGCTTGCAACGACTTCAGTGGGGCATTTCACTGTGAGTTGATCGCCCTTGTCGATACGGACAACGCACATGAGGCTGGTAGAGCAGAAACTTCCTTGAGTGTATCCAGAGTAGGCGAACTGTACACAAGTAGAGCCTTTCATCAGCTGAATGGCTTCCGGAAGACGGTCCGCGTGGTGATTGACGACAGCCAATATCTGGTACAAGCCTGAAAGCGGCAACCGAATCACACCGTCCTCTCCAAACACACCATCGAGGTTGCTATTGCTCCAGCGGATGACGTCGCCAACTCGGCTGGTTGCGACCGCCTGGGCGAGCACGAAAATGTCTTTCGCTTTAAGCTGAGCTCGTACATCCCCCAGTATCTTGGTCAGCAAGGCGGCACGTGCTTCAGATTCTTGGCGCAGTTTCTTCACTTCCGCTTTGACAATCTGGATCTCCGCCTGAAGTGTTGCGGATTTGTTTTCAACTTCCAGGCGCAGTTTATCCATTTCGATCTACATGTCCCGCACCTTGGATTCCAGAACGTCAATGCGCTCGACTGAAATCGGTTCCAACACGAATGCGTATGTCATCCCACGGGACTTACGCAGCACCTGAAGTGTTACTGCGATCTCCAACCGGAAGGTTTCGTCCTTGACGCGGCTGAATGTGCTCGCAATCTTGTCAATGCCATCGCCAGCAATATTTAATACTTCACAAAAACACTGGAGAGGACCATACAGTTGGTAAAACAAGAAAGCTGCAATAAAGAGGCTTTAATCATACGTGCAATAGCAGCGTCCGGGATGACGTTCGTGGCGTCGACAAAAGCGTTAACGCCTAGTTCAGATTTGCACCTGTGTTGGGATACCAGTTGCGGTCATCAGTATCCAGTCTTCCGTTACCCCATACAATCGTGGTGGTCCTCCTTCAGATGATCCCGTCACTATGTAGGCACATCGCTGCCTCCCTTCGGCTGGCATAACTTCCTCAAGTTCGCGCCGCTTCCTCACAACCTTTAATGGACCGATGCCAGCTTGAACGCGGGAGAAACTGCTTGCTTCGCAAAAGCGAAAGTAGTATCATGCTCAGCGTATTGAACTGTACGTCGTACCGCCTACCATTGTTTTTTGCTGTCGTAGTCCTCGAGCCAGATGATGCGTAGCCTGTCGTTCTTGAGCGAGATCGCGTAGCGGTAGGTAGGCGCCGGTGGCGGTGCAAAGATGGTGGTCCCATTGAACTCGAGCACGGGTTGCGCGGAAGTCGAGGCAATGGGGCTTGGGGGCATGATGGTGGCGCTTTCAGGGTGCACCAAATCACTTGTGTTGAAAAAGCTAGTAGAAGATGGCAGGCTCTTGCAGTCCCCATCGCTCCTCATTGTGAACGCTCGTGGATGTTGCGCAGCTCTTCTCTAGTCTAAAGTGAGAACATGCATACTTCGATTTCAAATTCGAAGACCTAAATCAGGAAGGAGGTGACATAAGACTACGAGGTGTCATGCGACATCAATTTTTTTTAATATTGTTTAGCTACCATGATACTATCAGAAAGGTGAATGTCTGGGCTACGCATTGAAACCTACGTCGACACCACCAACGCTGCTGCTTCAGTTTACGTCGAGGCATATCAAATATCACTCATTGTTCTAACATTTTTTTATTTATTTTGCATTAAAGTGGCAGTGTTTTCGTGAGGGATTAAACAGTGCACACGACGGCGTGTCCAGTATTGCGACTTTATTTCAGCAACACTAAGGACGCCCTTCGTTTGGAGATTGCGGTCAGAATCCGAGTCATTCGAAAGTCACGAGTGATGGAGTACACATTCGGAATGAAACCGATATGCCTGGAGCACATTGGCATCCTCAAAGCAAAAGTTCATTACCTCCAAGAAGAAGTTATGAGTCGGCTCAAGCGACTGAAAAAGACAACTATTACGTGATGCACGAGATTCAAAAGGAGCTGGTATCGCTTCGTCAGAATTTATTGAGCCGGGGAATGCCGACTGCCGCCCTACGAAACGAGCTGAAGGTATTCCGCTGCCGAACCGTCAAGTTCAAGCCACAACTAAAGTGGGTGAGCTAATTCGTTGGGAGAAATCAGTGGATGCCCCATAAGTATAATATTCGGCTGAAAGAAGGACAGCAGGTAGACACACAACTCGGTGGGAGCAGCCTGTCGGGCCACCAAGCTAATCTCTTCAAACTAGCTCACCCGCCGTACATTCTCGACAGAAGCCTTAGGCTGTAGACTCCTAAAAATGCGTGAGCAAAGAACATTCACTACCAAATGATGTATTTCTTGAAAGAGCAATACCACGACCCGCAGCTTTAGGGTAGGCATTTTCACAGTGAGCTGATCGAACCCGAGTCATGCAATTGAGCGACGTCGATCCAAAGTTGCCTTGAGCGAATCCACAGTGCGCAGATTGAATGCAATCCGGCCTGAATGAACAAGTTGTGCCCCGCTGGCTGGTGGTTCACCACCGCTGTCATTCGGTACGTACCAGGCGCCTTAACGCGTATGATGCCGTCAATGCCGGTCACGCTGGCGTTCAGACTGAATACTCGTGGCTTGCACTGGGCTGACGACGGAGCATTCTTGGGCCAGCTCGTATGGGTTGGATGGCACATCGCCTTCACAATTCGCCAGACAGCATAATGCTTTCAGCCTTTGGACAAAGATTACTTCGAGTTAGGTGCCATGCCACCAAGAACCACGTTCGAGACGTACTCAAGGACAGAGTTGCCAGTGATTCGCGGATTAGGTACATAAAGCTTGAGCGACTGTCAACTTTGCAGCACAACTGGGGTCGACAAAGATGAAAAGGATTACGGGGTTACTCCTCCACTTCCACATTGTAAAACATGGAAACCTGTAGGTAATTCCCTCTTCACACGTTTTGTTGCAGGTCCACCCTCAGGCCCACGGGGTCTTCAGAGAATCCAACTTTGGGTAAATGTTCTTGTTCAAGAACTAGCCAACTTCTCCAACATCCGCGATGTTGATCCCGCAGGGGTGGTCGATCGAAATCCAAACCAGCCAAACCGCTGTCGTGACGACACCAGATGTCAACTGATCCCGTGAATAGGGTGAAATGTCCAAGGTATAATTCTCGAGGCTCATCCCGCGCGCTTCAATCAAATGGGCACAGCGACTTGCAAATTATCTGATATCATTTTCGGATGTAAGGGTGAGTTCTGCATACGCGCGTTGTGCTGATACTGCCGTTTTGGCTGATTGCTCGATAAGCTGACCTCAGAGCCCTGGTTGGGATCTGGAAGTCCTGGTTGGCAAGAGGAACTGCGACTAGACGGCACATTGTTGCTGACGACGACGACTTGCTTGCTTGCTTTTTTTTTTGAGAAGCACTTCAGGCCGATTCGTGGCAGTGCCACAGCTGCCCATGAAGATCTACCGTGGTTTCGTACTCCTGGAAAGCGTATGTAAAGTATGTACTACGTTGTAAGCAGTAGCAATGGTAATTGGGACTTGGCCATCAAAGTAAAGTCCGATTTCCAGTGCTGTACTCTGGGAAACGAAAAAAAAATCTTGAAAATGTGTCGCTATTCGACAAGTAACCCGCGGCCATGGGAGAATCTCGAGAAGAGTTTATCGTTTCCACTTCTGCAGCCTACTGCACTAGCCTACTGCCTACAGAGATCACCTTACGCATTGAAAAAAAAGTGAAGCTATCAATGTATGGATTAATCAATATTCAGTCGACCGTCTAGCGTAAGATAAGCCCCGTCAAACACAAACGCCAAGTCCTCCGCATTGCCAAGCAAGCGTAACATGGGCGTCATCCAGTCCGACTCGCTGCTCAAGCTCAGAACCCGAGTATGCTTCCAGACTGAAGCTCTTCCTGGCGAAGCCTTTTTCATTGTCCCAGCCGAACACCGTGACTCCACTCGCCTCGAATCGCTGGTCAGTAGCTTCACAGCTAGACTCCTCCCTCGCTCAGATTCTCCCAGCTTCGGGAACGCGTGGCGCAGCATCTCCTCACACAGAACGACTTTGGTCTTCGTCTTGGCGACAATGAAGCCTTCGGGACCTTGTTCCACGTTGGCAGCACGGATCTCGAAGGTCGGTTGCGAGAGGGAGACAAACCTCCAGTACTCCAGCACCGCTTCAACGCCTCGTCCATTCTCCACGATCACATCTGGAGCCATGGCTCGCTGCAGAAACTCACGGCGAGCGTGCGACTCGTGCAACGTTGGGTAGTTAGGAGAGTTGCAGCGCTCGGATATGGGCACATACGCCGTCAAGGCGAAGCGGAACAGTCGGAACAGGGGTATGAATAAAAAATTTCAATATGAAAATTGTCAATAAATATGAAAAAATATGTATTATTGGCAAGCGCCATATTAAAATTTATATTATTGGCTCGTATGATTTCAGGGCATACAAAAACACAGTCAAGATACATGGAATTGAAATATTTAATCAGCATAATAATGATTATTGGCGATCGTCATATTTAAATAACTATTACTGACAAGCAGTTTTACCAATTCAATATAATACTGAATTGGGGGAGCCCCGAGTCGGAAGTACTCGGCCACCACGCTTCAGGGGGGGTGGAGAGATGGTCTGGTGCTGGAACTCGAGCTTCTGCACTTGGTCTCGCAACACTTGTACTTGCTGCTCGAGAGTGTCGGCGTGGTCCTTGAGCTTCTGTCGGTACCGGATTTGAGTCAAGCGGCGACGCTCTCGGTTCAACTGCGCGGCGTCTTCTTCTTCTTGAAGTTTGCGGGTCTGAACTTGAGTGTCGTGTGCAGGAGGAGGAGCTGGTCTTTTGCCGGTATACCGAGGGATACTCCCATGGTCGAAAGATGTCGTCACGGCGACGCGTTCGTACGGAGATGAAGTCTTATGGTCAGGGTCGGAAAAAATAATACAAAAATAATTATTACGGAATTGTTCCACTAAAAGAACTGATTATTGGGAATCGGCGTCTTGCAATGATTATTATTGAGTCTAGTGGGCTTCAATATTTGTCGGTATTTTAATCTACATACAAATGTCAAGATAAAAGGCAAGCTCAATACAATAATTACTGTATTGTTCCACTAAAATAATTGATTATTGGTGGGAGTCGTATTGCAATGATTATTATGGAAGAAAGAAGCCTGCAATACAATTTTATATTTTATTTTTTGGTGGAAGCGCTCGGCCATGTGTGGGATCGAAGACTGACTGTAGCGCGCAGGAGCTTGGTCGAAGCCGCGGTGGGTGGATACTCCGCACCTCGTTGCACCGATCGCTTCGTCGCTGAGCCAGCGGGTGTTGGGGGGACAGAGGGCGCTGCTCATTTTGGGGCCAGAGCGGTGGGAGTGTCCGAGGTCGACTCGGCAAGAAGACAAGTGAACGGAGCAGTCTCAGGGTGAGTGACCGATAGGAGAGAGAGCGAACTCATAACGCATTTCGTGCTTACGCCAGATGATCACATCCAAATATGGCAGATGACCGGCTTGTGCACTTCTCCCACGGCTGTGACGCCTCATACAGTAGAAGGCTTGCAATATTGTACGAAGCGGCCTATGTGCATTGACTGTACTACAGCCAGGCCATCGCTTACGTGCAACCACGAAAGTCGTTATCGACGGGGATTCCAATCTTCTTGCTGGGATGACTGTGCGATTGACGCTTGAAAACTCTTCACTAGGTGGCGCACGACGGCCTCAAGTTGATCTGAAGTTCTTCTCACTGGAGTGCGCCCGAATAGCAGGGTGCTGTCTCAATTAGGGCTGTTTCATGCAGTGCTCGAAAGTGCACGAAAGTACTTTCGTGCAGATTCATCAGCCCTTTATTACGGGGATAGCCCATTGAGACATCAATTGCTTCTCTCTACTAAGTACGATTAAAGTTCTTGAAATTACAGGCATAACCCTACCGAAACTGGTGCACGAAACAGCCCTAGTCTCAATTACTGGCCGGACAGAAGGCTACCGTACGCCAAGTTGAGGTTCTTGCACGAGCCTTGCGAGGAAGAGTCAATTTGGAATCACCACTAGTCTCGGAAGCGTTGCGGCGGGTGCTGTTCATGCTTGAAGAGGATAACCATTGGTTATCCGCTTGGTTATTAACACCTTGTCTCCGAACGTCGTAAGTTTCGACATGTCTGTTTTTTATGTCGTAAGTTACGACATTGAGCGCGTTATACTAGAAAAACGTAGACACGATTTTCTCATACTTTAATCAAGTTTATTTCAAGCAACCGCAACCTATAAGGTGCGAGAGGTATTTGCGACAAGCTCACAGAACCGGGTCAGAGGATGGTTTCAGGTGGGTGAAAGATTTCAGTTTGATCCAGAGCCTGGACAGTTTGGTCCAGAGTCCGGACAGTACGTCCAGAGTTGGACCAGACAGATATCCTTCAGTGAAGGATAAGTGAAGGACCTTCACCCAGCACACGAAGTTGACTTTAGACACTTTTGGCGGCAACTCAGGGTGACCGGCTAGACCTGGGGAAGCGCGCCGTGTAGCGCACACCCGGTAAGAACGCAGGCAAGCGCAAGAAGACACGGTAGGAACTGCTTCCCCACGAAGAAGGAAGCGATGGTGGACAATGACAGCAATGACAGTGAGCGTGTAGGTTGCGTTGCAGTTAGTCAGTGGTCAGTTTCGTGTGGTTGAATAAAAGTTTGTTGAGCCAATGCATCTTCTTTCATGTGATTTCTGATCGGATCTGCACAACAGTGCACCTCCTCAGCCATCGGTTGACTGCAAGTGGGGTCATTTACGACATTGAGCGGCGATTGCTCTATTTCTATGTCGTATCACTTACAACATTGGCGAGAAAACCTGATGACAATTTATACACCTATCCCGACGAGAAACACATGGTACTTACAAATATCAAGTGAATCTGTAAGTCGTAACTTACGACATGCGCATACGCGTCTGAGGCGAGTACCGTTCCGAGACAACGTGCTAACCAAGTCCGAAGTTAGCCGTTATGTACACTTTGTCTTCCCGACGTGAAGTACACGTCATGGGGAGCTTCGAACTTCAATCGATTCGGCAAGACAGCCAATGCGATGCATGCAGCTACTTCGCTGTCTGCAACAAGTACAGTACCGAGCTCTTTAGACACTACGATAACCGTTTAGAGACTCTCGACTAGATGCGAAACTTTGGTCTGGGAGGACAGTGTAGACTTCCTTTGTGTGCAAACGTGGGGTAGGCAAGAATAATGTAACATGAAAATTGGTGGCAAGTTTTCAAACCCTGGTGTAGCACCTTCCTGGCAAAAATTGGCGAAGTTGCCGTGCAAAAGACACGAAAGAAGTTAAAGGCGCGCTCGGCCGGGGGCAAAGCCCCCGGCCGAGCGCGTTGACGTCATGCATTCCAGCTATACAAATTTATACAAGAAGGATTCATGGGATTTAGAGCGGGGCCCAAAGCCGCAGGAAAAAGAGCAATCCGTTAGTTGTGATTTCAATGATTTTGAGTAAATGTTAGCTTATAAGGAGAAAATGCAGCTATACTAGTTATGATTTTCTAAATAAATTTCATAAATTTAAGAACTGCTCACTACAGTGTGTGGTACACACTACGGATACAGTCGACATTCTGGGAACAACCAGCCACGAAATGTACAAACTTTGTGATGTTACGGTAGCCATAATCTGTGTACTATGGACTCAGGCGACATTTGCCAATTAAAGTTGGGGTCCCGGCCGCTGAAATAAAATTGGTTAGGCTGTTCAGCCAGCTAAAGCTGTCCTCCCAGTATAACCTCGTATTTGAGTCTGTTATTAGTCATTCTTGAGTCTATCACAGTAGGTGAAGCCTCGGTCGGTCTCTCAATGTGAACGCAGGCTCAGTCGACTATCAAGTCTAAGCCATGATGCCCTGGTATCTGCGTAGTTGCCCACTCGCGCTCAGTCGACAACATACGTTTTTGAAAGCCGGTGGAGCGTACACTGTATTACGCTGTGGTCTAACCACTCGCAGCGTATACATGCATCGGTTCTGTAGTATCTTCGTCGTCTTCACACCCCTTCACTCGGCTTGAAGGGCAATTGCAGTCTGGTAGCAACGAGGGCGTCTTGGACTTGCTATTACGCTTGGCGTGCCGTCGCTTTGGGTCCTTTGACTGTCACGTGGCTGAGTAGATACGCGAACTGGGCGTGAATCGTAGCAGCGTCGAAAGCTTCCTGGTGATGAGCCGCGCTCATCTTGGCCGTGATGCGCGCGGTATCAGGGAAGAGGAAGTTGGGCAGCGAGTCCCGTGGGCGCTCGGGGCTAGTGCCAGCACTGGCTGGTCTCGGACGTACTTGATCCCTTCCCACGGGGTCACAATGCCGTCGCTATCCGCTGCGGCGTCGTGCAGTTGCCGCATGAGGTGCCAGAACCTCGCCCACACGAGCTGCGACGACACACCGACGTACGAGTTGCGTCGCCCTAAGCCCCCCGAGAGCTTCTGCTGCTGCTGGGAGAGCGCAAACTCGCGCCGCATCTTCTGGAAGCCAATGCGGCCATCCTGGAGGCATTTCAGTCTTTTCAGCAGATGGGAGGGTGACTTTACTCTGTTGTTGTGGAGGTGGCGGCATTTTACCGTTCGCAAACGGCTGCAGTGCCTGCTTGAGCGCCGCCAGCCTTGCTGAGCTCTCCGTCTCGTTCAAAACGTACTCCATGATAGCCTCCAGCCAGCGCACCTTCAGATTTGCCTTCATGCGTGAGATATGCACCGCAAGGTCACTCAGATCTGGAGGAGCGTTCTTCGCTGCTGTCGCGGCGTCTTTCAGGTCTTGGATTCTCTTCTTGTAGCTGTCCGTCGGGTGTTTAAAGATGAGACGGCAGCTCTCTCCTCGCGCGACAGCATCTTGAACAACGTCTTGAGCATCTTGAGACGAATAGCGGCGACGTATTCGGAGTTGACGTCGAGCGGTGAAGCAGGCGTCCTCCCGTTGCCCAAGTCTTGAATCACAGCCAGAGCCTTGGCCCATTGCCCATCCAGAGGGAAACAGGTCCAGCATTTGTCAATGAGCTGGCTGAGTTCCTTCTCCTCCAGCATCAACAAGAACGTGTTCGACACGAGCTGCAGTAGCTGGGCGCTGGACAATCTGTGGTGCCTCAGGTAGTTGAGCATGATCATCTGGAAGCGCTCGATCGATGCTGCCGTGGACGACTGCGATATTGGTCGCCCGTCGTTCGTGTCTTCTTCGATCTCGATATCAAAGTCCGACCCGCTCATGCTGGCGCGTCGTAGCTTCCTGGCCTTCCGTTCATTGTCGTTCTTCTCGTACTCCTTCGAGAGTAGAAGCCACTGCGCTTCAGTCAGGTACACGGCTAGATCGCTCAGGAAGAAGAACTCCATGTCGGTGCTCAGCAGCTTGAGGAAGAACACGTCCTTGGGGCTAGCACGCGGCACCACTTCACCTCCTAATGCCTTCTCGTCCGGTAGATCTCCCACCCTGCCGGAGGACGTAGCGAGGTACAATCGGAAGAGTGACTCACCCGCATTGGGCAGCACGTCCACGACCAGCTCCAGCTGATCCATCCCCTCCGTGTAGGTCAGGTTATGCAGGAAACACATCTTCCCGTGGAGGTCGAAGTGCTCGAAGACGTCTCGGAACGAGTCGGCGTCTACCAGCCCCACGATAGCACAGAGGATCATCTCTCGACCGCTGGAGCTGAAGCTTGCGGCGTTGTGAGTGATCGCGCGACAGATCTGCGCACTCGTAGCCAGCGGAACATGTACAGGGTAGTCTGGATCATCCAACCCCATGCCTTTCCGTCTCAGTAACAGCAGACCTTGTTGTTCTTGCAGCGCATTCACAAGCTGATCCAGCATGGCCGAGTTGGTGGCGTAGACCTTTGCGATTACCGCTTGGACGTGAGCGAACGGCACATACTGGAAGATCCGAGCCACGTCGTCAACACTGACAGCTCGCAGTACATTCGGATCCGTGATACTCCGACTTGCCAACAACGTCTTCTCCACTCGCGAACGCGCTCAAAATACGGGGTGCGCGCGTAAAAATTCTGCACGAGCGCGGACATCGCGTCCGGCGAGGTCGAGTCGGTGACTATGGACGGCAACGAGGCGTCTGGGAGGTAGATGGCGCCTTGAATCCCGGCCAACATCTTCTCCAACAACGTTCGGTAGCACCCGACGATGCCAGGCATCTTCAGCAGCGTGGCGCAGCACGCCGCTGCTTCCACAGCGTTCGGCCGGCCGACTTGCTCCACGAATCCCTCCTGCACCTCGTCCAGCTTGACCTCAGTGAACATAGCGAACGAAGCGAAGTTGCTACGCTCCACTTCGTACGACCGGATCCACTCTTCAACCGTCTCGCCCGATGCCAGGTGGGCGTTCAACCGCTTCAACTGGATCACTTCATCATCCGAGTCTTCGAGAGCTCCTTTTGGTGCACGAGGTGAATCAGGATAACGGGATGGCGACGATGGAACAACTGAAAGATGCCGCTGCTGCTGGTAGTGTCGTGGGTAGCGCGGAGACTCGCTCTCTAGAGGGTGGAGTCGCTCTCGAGTATTCTTCTTGCGCTTGAAGTTCTGTCGCAATACAAAACGAAGTGTGAGCTTTCAACGAGTAACAACTCTATTAATAGATCCAGGAGGGATACTGCACGCACCTTGATGGAGCTCACGAGTCCGCTGCCACTGCCAAGTGTGCTCGAATCGCCAACAGCTTCAGCAGATCTTGGACTCAAAGCATTCGGCGACACCGGAATATACACGCGCGGACTCGAACCCGAGGCTGTAGGTGAGGCAGCAGAAATCGCCGACACCTTGTTGGAACGTGACAGTCCTGCACTGCCACTCATGCCTCTCCCTCTCCCCTCGATGCAGACCTGTCCAACGCAGGGCGTTCCCCAACGACTTGACGTCGAGAGCGTCTGCTGCTCGTTAGTTCACAGGCGTTTCAGAGCGTCACCACCTCAGCAGAATTAGCACCGCAACTCTGGACTCTGGATGAGTGGGCATGTATGCTACGTGTTAGTACGGGTGGGGCAGCTCACCTACGATTTCCAGACCCCGTTAAACCTTGGACCTTCTCCATCTTTTAAATCTGCTCAATCAACGAGGCGTACGTGTCACGTAGCACCTGCTCCAGAAGCTGTCGCTGCTCTTGGGGCTTCCCAGTCGACTCTGCTGCTACCCTCCGACTGCTGTCCCTCTTGCTGCTACCCGAGCCACTCTGCAGCTGTCTCTGCAGCTTCAACAAGAAATGCACCAGCTCCGTGCTCAGGTCGGCGTTCTGCGAGCACGCGTGCACGATCCAGGGCAGCACTTCGCCCAGCAGGTTGATGTAGCCAGCGCTGTTCTCGCCCGAGCTTCCAACGCCGTTGCGCAGCTTGTTCCAGACCACACGTAGCGCCTGCTGCATCGCCGCGCTCTGCTTGCTACCCGAGAGATGCGCAGCGCACAATAAGAGCACCACGCGTAGACGGAAGCGCCACTTGGGGAGGTTCTTCTCCGCGCCTTCAGCCACGAACTCCATCAGCGGCTTCGTCCCCGGTGTAGCCGAGCGAGACGACGAAGAACCGGTCGAGTTGGACGCAGTTGGTGCCATCCAGTGGTCCCAGAGCAGCTTCATCACCGGCACATGAGCCACTAATGTTGGCACCAGAGTGACATCATAACCCTGTGTGTGGATCGCCAGCAGTAGTCGTGGTGGCGACGGCGAAGACACCTCGGCGTCTGCAGTCAGCAGCTCGTCGACCATGTTGCAAAGCAGAGCACGACTCTCCTCCGCTACTTCATTGTCGCGAGACTCGGAGCTCAACGGTTGCAGGCGCTTGAGAATGTCGTGCACCAGCAAACAGTCCTGGAGGAGCTGGTGCTGCTGGACACTGGCAGTGGTGGACGCAGCCGCAGACATGCCCTCGACAGGCACCAAGCTTGGGTCGCACTTGGTCATATGGACGTTGGCTGCTGCTCGCACGTCGCGCACAAGTCCGAGTAGCACGCGCAGCAACGCTGGCTGACTGAACACGCTATCGTGGGCGTCTTTGACTAGGCGGAATGGCTCCTCCAGCACCTGTGTATATGTCAGTAGCTGCAACGTTCCTGGGTGTGTCTGCACTTGTTTTTGACGCCAAAGTACGTCCGGGAAGCAGAGCGCGTGGACCAACCGCATCAATAGCGAGATACTCGCGCCTTGTTCGCGACGCGCACGAGTCTCATACAGAGCTGCCAGCTGCGCGCAGAATGCAGCCACTTGTCGACACGATGCTGCATACTTTTGCGAGGATAGCACTGCGTACGGGAGGAAGCCGTCTACCAGCACCGGCAGCTCGCGCATCACTACTTCAATAGGTGCCGCCTGCAGTTCCAGTAGCAACGTCTGAACTGCCGTCCAGGAAGCAGGAGACTGGACGACAGTGTCGTGTTGCTGCTGTGTCAGCAGCAACATCGTCGTCCTCCACGGGAGTGGCCAGCTCAACAGTGTCCACCACCAAAAACTAGATGTCGCGAGAAGCCACCTGCTGCTTGAACGCCGCGCGCTCGCCACATCGTCCGACGTCTTCCAGCCCGCCAGCACCAGCAGCTTGCCTCCCTGCTTCACACTACGAGCTACGTCGTAGTGTGCAAGCACGTCACGGGGGTCACCACGACCACATCGGCTTCTCGACAGGCTCCGACGTCGCCTGACCGTTGCCGCCGCCCAGAGCAACGCGCACCTCCAGAGTTGGCACCGGACGCTCGGCAGCCTCCTCACCAGCACTGTGGGTCACCATGGCATTCACGCGGGTGAGGGTTCTTGTTCAGCAAATCCAGCGTCGACTCGAACGAGCAACATCGGCCTCAACATCGTCGAAGCCATAGAACAGGAACTGCTTGATGTACGCGGCGGATCCCTCCAGCTCCAGCGACTCGCCGAGCACCACGTCGAACTTCGTGGCCTGGCTGCTCTCCGACGCAGCGTTCACCAGAGCAGCGTCGTACAGCTCCTCGCTCTTTGCAACCACAAACGCACGGCGAGACGATGAAGTCGCCGAATGGCGCAGCACAGCGCGGCCCATGCCCACCGAGAATGTTTTGAGTTGCGGAACACGCCACCATACACTCCCGTCACCACCACGGGGGCGGACTCCACAGCAGGCTGCCAGTATGTCGACTGGAAGAAGACCTGCAGGTTCTGGGTCAGCAGGCCGGGCCGCGCTGAAAGGCCAGCGCGCTGGGAGCCACGTTCTCCAGCGCCACCACTCGCTTCACCGTAGCAGGAAGAGCCTGCGCAAAGAGCTTGTGCGACCATGGCAGCAGTAGACACACCTGCACCACACTGAACTTGCCTCCAAGGATTTGCTCGTAGGCCGCAGCCTGCTTGAGCGCAGCGGCGGCCTCGCCCACCACGACCACGGCGTACTCAGCGTCCTCGGCGCGAAAGTCCTCGTACACGCGGTACTGACGTTGCAGTACGTGGAACAGGTCGTCCGTGACGTGTTGCACCATGCTCCATGACGTCTCCAGTCTGCACTCCACTGGAAGAGAGTCCAGTCAGCGTCTCGATCGACTCCTCCGTCAGAGTGTCCACCTTGGCGAGCTCCCGCGCCACGCGCGCGCCGTCGTAGAAGTGCACCCGCAGTTTGTGCAGGCGCTGCGCCGCCACGTGGGCCACGACGGTCAGGTCGTGGCATTCCTGAGGCGACGCCGAGTTGAGCAGCAGCGCGCCCGAGCGTACAGAGGCCCGTGTGGGCGTGACGCCGGTGGCCTCCTCGACAGCCGAGACCATGCTCGCGCTTGGACGGGGGCGTGAAGTAGGCTCCTCACCTCCTTCTGGATCGTGATCAATTACTACTTGGCCATCTCGGAGAAGAGCGTCTCCGTGGTCGTTGTAGTCGACGTCATGTCGCAGCAGATGGACTCACACGCAACGTGGAACACGGCGGGCGTCGAGGTGGCTGAACCCTGCGCCGGCTGGAAGAGGCTGGGAAGGAACAGCGGCAGTTTATGCGACGGGATGAGCGCCGCCGAGGAAGCACCCACAGCCAGCGCTCCACGCACGGCGTCAGCGGCTCCGGGGAGGATCTCAAGCGTCACGGGGCGCTGCGCTTGGCCTCCTGCGTGTGCGCGCTCTCGGCGGCGGCCAGCAGCGGGTAGTCGAAGACGTTCAAGCTGACGTGGCCGGCCACGTGCAGCACGGCGTTAGCGCTGGAGCAGAAACTAACGGCACGCGTGAAGACGCGGCTGCTCAGCTCAGAGCGAGCGGCGCGCAGCTTGTGCAGGTGGCGTGGGCGCCAGCGACGCCGTGGATGTGTCGCTCGCGTTTCGTCCAGCACGTCCACAGCCCGCGCGTCGGCGGGGTTTCCGTGGTTGTAGGTTGACCCAAGGTCTTCGCTCTAACAAGCAACACGAAACAAAAGACGAATATCTAGCGACCACCTGAGGAGGCAAGCAGCTTGACCATGCGATCATCGAGTTGCTGAATGTCCGACTGGAATACCTGCACATTTTCAGCCAAGCTCGCCTCAATCTGAACATTTCCATGTCATCAGTTAGTGAATACGTTAAAACGTATAGCCAGTTGCATATGAATACAAGAAAGTATCTACCCCGTTGCTAGGATGCTTACATTCGCCAGCAAGGCAGCATCCGAATCAGTCAGCGAAGCCTCGGCCTCCTGGCCGGCGTCCACCATCACCTTGTGCTTCTTGTGCTCGGCGTCGGCCGCCAGCAGCGCGCAGCGCACCAGCGATGATGGGACTCCCGACGTGTTTGAGATGGGAAAAGATATGAGAGCCACCCAATCCACCAGTGAAGAAGACACGAGGGTGGCGAAGGATTCCTCGCGACCGCCATCGGCTGCAAAAAAGAATGTAGCTTGGCTTACAGAAGTGTTCAGCGGAGGGACAGAGCGGTATGTGGAGGAAGCGCCCACCGTGGCGGATGATAAGCTGCAAGATGAGTGCGATTCTCAGGTTCGACAGTACCTGGGCGATGCACATGGAACTCGAGTGACTACTGATGCTCTACAGTGGTGGTCAACGCGGCGAGGGAAGTACCCGATCGTGGAGGCTTTAGCTCGGAAATGGTTAGGATGTATTGCAACTTCTGTGCCATCGGAGCGTGCGTTTTCCAAGCGTGGAAATGTAGTTACCTCGAAGCGATGCTCGTTGGACCCTGAGACCATTCGCGACACGTTGTTCGTCAGTGAAAATTATGAAGAGGACGATGACAACATTGATAGCAGTTCTGAAGAAGAAGACGACGAAGAAGAAGAAGAAGAAAACAACAACAATGGAGGAGGAGACGGCGGTGATGTTGATGGGTAGTTGACCCTAGTGTATAGCATTGGAATAGCTGATGTTTCACATTGCAAATATATTTGACACTCATGATCGGAGTATTGTACTGTCAGATTGGCTTTTACTGCACCCGCTTCGCTTAGCACTCTAATGCACGACCTCTTCCCCGTAGTTGATCATTGCTTGTTCATTTAAAGCGTCTTAGCTCCCTTGCCCGCTGCATGTTGTTACGTGTTGTCACGTCCGCCGCCCGACGCTCTAGGACTCCCGATGTTGGAGAAGCTGCAGTTTGCGAAGTCCAGCACCACCGCCACAATGATGCCGAACTGCACCGTGGGGTGCCACAAGGACTCGAATGATGGGGAAGCCGAGCGCTGGCTTCCTCTCGTCGTCGCTGCTGCCAAGTCTTCGTCCAGCGGCAGCTTCTGCAACTGCTCCTGCTTCTCCTTTTGGCTGTCCTCCTCGAACACCTTCGTCATCCCAGTAAGCTCCACGTCCACCGATTCGAGGTCAACGGGGTGCCGCTTGGTGGACGTCAACAAGTCCGTCTGCGCGGGCGTGAGCTTGGGCTCGACGTTGTTCTCGGGGGACTTGTTGCTTCTGGAGGACCACAAGTTCTTGATACTGGACCTCCTCCGTCTTTAGCTGCTGCTGCTGCTGCTTCTCCGTCGTCTTCTTTGCAGCGACAGCGGCGTTCACGGTGGGCACGAGACTCACATTGATCATGACGAGGTACTTAGTAGCTGCATAGCGTCCGCAGCATGCCAATTCTGGTCACCCCCGCCCTGGTAGGACACGAGCTGCGCCACGCACGCGGAGAAGACGTCCGTCAAGAGGAAGACATCCTAGTCCAATAGCTTGAGCAGCGCCGTACTGATATCGGCCGCCGATACGGCCTTGGCCACTTTGCGCAGGTCTTCGCCGTAGAGTCTACTATCGACACCAACCTTTATATCCAATCAGCAGCAGATATTTGTATGATCTTAGCCAATGAAAAAAACGAATTTATCACCAATCACAGGCGATTTGTCGTTATCTGTCACTATCGCTTCGCTAACAGCCAGATAACGACTGTTGTTGGCAAGTCAGATAACAGCTAACGTTGAAAGGCCTACGAGTACCGACGTATGCTGATCGTGCCGAAGAAGACAGTAGGAGCTCAATTAGTGGCCGCCCACTATTGGAGTTAGTGGTGCGGACCACGTTTGGAGAGTGTAGATCACTTCTTCCCTAAAGCGTAAGGCGCACTAACGTTTACAATACAATACAATAAAATAGCACCTTCTCATTGGAGTGTGGCTTTCTCGGTCGGAGCAAGCAAAGAAAGGGCAGAGGTCAGTCAAAACATGCCCAAATCCCATCAAGGAGTGCCGGGACTTGTAGCGCTGTAGCTCCGCCATGGCACCTTACCATCCGGCACTTCCGTGTCTCCCTTAAAGTAGAGATCCTTACGCACTAGCAGGTGGTCTCCATGTTCGCTAAGGGTGCCTACAACGCGCTCAAATGCCATTATTCTGGGGGCCTTTTGTGAGGAGCGAGGCCTGTGCAAAGGCGGCCACCCCATCCCAGGATAGCCCAATAAAAAATCAAGATATTGAGAAAGCACAACTATCTAGTTGTAGTTCGCAGTTCGTAAGAACTGTGTTTTGAGGGGGTGTCACGCGTCTGTAAACCCCGCTATAATGATGTTGAATCTCTACAATAGTGACATGCAACGTCAACTTCAATCATGGTCGCAACCCCTCACTCGACCTGCGCTACCATTCAACGTCAACTTCAAGCATGCATGAAAGCCTACCACGAGTATGCCAATGCATGCATTAGTATTGGTGTCATTCCCGCAGGCTTTAGATATCATGCATTAGTTCAGCACGGAATAGATATAAAATCCAAAACGTTGGTCATAAACTAAACAAGGCAGTATATTACAAAGCCATAGAATATGTTTAATTGTTCATTTTAACAAGAGTACGAGCGTGCTAGTCCATTGCAACATTTGTGGAAAACTTATGTACCGATAGTTTAACCAACATTTCTAAAGTGTCACTACACTTTCAACCTCACAGCGCTGCATTTATACTTGAACTTTTCCTCACGATGAGGACAGGTGAACTCTACATACCTGAATGCTCTTGTCGACTCGAACACCTTCGCGTAAATTGCTGGATACCATGCTCGGGTAATTCCTTGAGCATGATTTTAGCTTTAACAACCTTGTTTACCGCTCAAAATTACCACATCGCGCACCCTCGTTACTGTTGTTGTCCAAGTAAGTGATGACGCCCGGGTAGGTCAGCATCGTTCGAACTGCATGGTACTCATAAAAGCTTTTGAGTGGCAATCATTTCACAATATCAGGTTGTAACTATTTGGTTGTTGCGTCTACCCTATCAGTGTTGTAACATCGTTTTATGTTGCTCTTTAGGCAAACATTAAACATAAAGCAACGAGCCACGATACTTTACTGCATTTAATGTTCGTCCTTCTATATTACCGGTGGTAGTGTAGGATGTCACGCTCCACAACAACTTTTACACAGCGGAAACCAGCATGTTGGTTTGTAGCATGTGGTTGACGGGGCAAATTCCGAAGTGAGATTAAATGTTATCGTCTCTCAAACTACTCTCTAGTCTTCCCCTCCTGTTTTCCTTCTTGTTCTCCTTGTGCTCGTTGGTGCCTCGCATCAGACAGATTACTCCCGGGTTCCGATTGACTTGATCTCAGTATACTTGGGTCTCCCTGACCAGCCATTGGTATATCCAGAGCCCGGCTGCCGCCGGCTCTCCCGTCGCCATCGGATCCTCCGAGTCATCGGCGGATGTGTCCACACGTTCTCCTCGTCCATGTGCATCTATTGGCGGTACTCCCGAAGACTCATGAACACTCCCACTCGCCGCTAATGCTGCACGACCGTCCCGACGATTCCGCTTGCGCTGATCAGGTACTTGAGCCTCTTCGTCCCCAACGCCTTGGTAAGCATGTCCGCGAGCCGGTCCTCCGTCGGCAGGTAGTTGACGACAATGAGTCCTCGGGACACATTCTCGCGGATGAAGTGATGCTTGATGTCCACGTGCTTGGTCCTCGTGTTGTACCCAGCGTTGCTTGCGAGGGCGATCGCGCCCTGGTTGTCCTCCCATACTTGGGTAGCTCCCACTTGCTCGTGACCCATGTCCTTGAGCATGGCGCGGGTCCACAGCACCTCCTGCGTGCACAGGCTCAGCGCCATGTACTCGGCCTCCGCCGAGCTGAGCGCCACCGTGCGCTGGTACTTCGACTTGAAGACCACCGGCGCCCCGTTAATCATCACCATGATGCCCGACACCGAGCGTCGGTCGTCGAGATTGCTGCCCCAGTCGGCGTCGGTGTACGCCGTCACCTCGACCTTCTTCGCGTTCCCATTGTAGGCGATGCCGATGTCTTGGGTGCTCTTCAGGTACCTGAGCACGCGGATGGCAGCCTTCCAGTGCTGCTGCCCGGGGTTCTCAAGGAAGCGCGACAACTGGGTCACGATGTACGCCACCTCAGGTCTGGTGGAAGTTGTAATGTACAACAAACAGCCAATGAGTGCTCGGTAGGGCTTCGCCTGCATTTCCTCGCGTTCCTTCTGAGTCGTCGGCGACTGAGTCTTCGACAACTTCATGCCCGACTCACCACCACCTTGGCGTCCTGCTGGTGGAACCGCTTCACCACATCATCAATGTATCGAGTTTACTTGATCATGAGAGTCATCGCCGATGAGTCATGGTCGATCTCCATACCGAGAATGAACTTGGCCTCGCCCAACTCCTTCATCTTAAACGCATTCTTGAGCGCCACCTTGACTTCCTGGATCTCGTTGCTCGTCTTGGCCGCGATGATCATGCCGTCCACGTACAGGCAGACATATACGAACCGGCCCTTCTCGCCCTTGACGTATACGCACTGGTCGCCACCGCAGCTCCGAAATCCGATGCCCACGAAGACTCGGTGGATGGTCTTATGCCAGGCATTCGCCGCCTGCTTCAGCCCATAGATCGCCTTCTGCAGCCGACACATCATGTTCTTCGCGTTGATGATTCCGTAGGGCACCTCCATGTAGACGCGCTCCACCAGCCCGCTGTTGAGAAAGGCGGTGTCCGCATCCAGCTGCTCGGTGATGTACGCCTCGGCCACCACAACCGACAACACCACTCGGATCGAGTTCATATTGGCCACGGGCGAGTACGTCTCGAAGAAGTCCACGCCAAACTTCTGCTTAAACCCTTTCGCCACCAGGCGGGCCTTATACCTGATGTCTCGGCCGTGCTCGTCGCGTTTCTTTGCGAACACCCAGCGACAACCGATCGGTCGAGCACTCGGTGTCCGACGGATCAGCATCCATGATCTGTTGTCCGCGTGTGCCTTGAGCTCCGCATTCATTGCCTTCACCCACTCCGACGACTCGTCACTCTGCACGGCCTGCTGATACGTGGTGGGTGCGTCATTGGCATCGCCGACGTCTGCGTCGTAGGCCAGCACCGCCTCAGCCAATAGGCTGTCTTCGTCCACCCTGGGTCGCTTCGGAGACGGTGGCCAGAAGTGATCATCGTTGTCCGAGTCATTGGGACCATCTTCTTTCGACTCCTCACCGTCTGCGGAACTATCTCCAAGTAGTAGTACCGGTTCTCGGACACGCTGGGTCCGTTCCGGCTCGGATGGAAGACCATGTCATCACTAAATACCGGTCTCGCGAGTCGTCGGTACGTTGTCAGCTCCTGCATGGATGGCTCCGGCGTCTCCGCTTCATGCATTTCCGCGTCCTCGACGGTCGCTTCCACCGATTCCATCGGCTCGTCGGCGGCAGGTCGTTGCATCTCCTCGTGCAGCGCCACTTCATCGTCGACATCTTCCGTCGACTGAATGGTCGGCGAGTTCTCGCTGGGCGACGTGTCGTAGATGCCGTTCACCTCGCGCTCGTCCAGCTTCATCGACCTGGACACCTTCACCTTGTTTGACTCCAAGTCGTACACTCGGTAGCTTTTTGAGTCGTCGGCGTACCCAAGAAACATACATTTGAAGCCCTTCGGCTCCAACTTGATGCGTCGCGACTTGTCGACATGGGCGTAACCAATCGACCCGAAGACTCGAAGATGGTCCAGCCGAGGCTTCGACTTGAACGTCAACTCGTACGGAGTCTTGGTCGGGTGCATGCTGTTCGTCGACCGGTTGATCAGGTAGACAGCAGTGCTGACCGCCTCTGCCCACCATATCGAAGCCACGCCCTTGTAGTGTAGCATGCTTTGAGCCTTCTCCATGATCGTGCGGTTCATCCGCTCCGCCACGCCATTCTGCTTGGGGCTATACGGGACCGCCTTCTGATGCATAATCCCATTCACCCGGCAGATCTCAGTCATCGGCGTGTTCACGAACTCAGTGCCGTTGTCCGAGCGCAGGCATTTAATGCGCTGTCCCCACTGATTCTCGTACAGCTTCATGAACGACTTGAACTTGGTCACGACCTCGCTCTTCTTGGTCAAGAAGTACGCCACGACGTGTCGCGAGTAGTCGTCGACAAAGGTGAGCACATACCTCGCTCCGCCCTTGGACTTCGTCTTCATAGGACCCATCACGTCCATATGAACCAGTTCCAGCGGTCAAGTCGTCGCCGACGTCGACCGCGACGGGAAATGTGCGACCGTCTGCTTGCCCTTCATGCATCCTCCGCACAGGGTCTTCGTCTGCTGTTGAGTCGTCGGGATTCCGTCCGTCGCCTCGCGGGTCTTCGCCATAGCGTCTCCGTTCAAGTGTCCCATACGAGCGTGCCATAGCTCCCACTTTCTGTCGACTCCCGAGTACTCGGTGTAGTGCGCCATGTCCTGCTGGCAGTCCAGCAAGTACGCCTTGCCGACCTTCTTCCCCGAAGCGATCGCCTTCGTCTTGTCCCAGATGACGCACGACTTCCGCTGGAACTCGACACTCATGCCGCGTTCAGCCAACCTCCCAACCGAGAGTAGTCGCCGGTCGAGTCCGGGGATGTGGAGCACCTCCACCATCTTGATGCGCTTGCCGTCGATGCCCGTTAGGCGCACCGACCCTTTCCCAGCCACGCGGATCTTCTTCCCGTCCGCGATTGTCACATACATGTCCGCCGACGACTCGTTGTACTCGAACAAGTCATCGCGGTGAGACGTCATGTGAGCCGTCGCCCCACTATCGATCAGCCAACCCGCTGATGGATTCTCCGCCACAGCGAACACCGAGTCTTCGGCGGTGTCTCCATTTGCTTTTTCCGGGCAGTCCCGCTTCATGTGGTCCACTTGGTCACAGTTGAAGCCACCGACCTTTCGTCCGCCGATGCGCTTGCGGCGGAATGCCTTGCCGCCCTTGCCGAACTTCCGTTCTGGCCCCTACCTCCGAACGAGGTAGCCTTCAACGCGCGCTCCGAGGTCTCCTTCTTCTCCTGCCGCTCGTACTCCTTGAGCAGCTTCTCCTTCACCTCGATGAGGGTCACGTCCTTCGAGTTCTCGACGATGGATGCGATCAACTCGTACTCCGCCTGCAAGCTGCTCAGCAGGATGACGAGTTGTCGGGAGTCATCGAGCGGCTCTCCAAGCGTCTGGAGGCCCACGATGAGCTCGTCGAATTTGTCCAGGTGCTTCGCTATCGTCGCACCGTCCTCCATCTTGAACTCGTGGAGCCGACGAGTCATCGTGACCCGATTATGCATCGTCGTCCGGTTGTAGAACTCGCGTAGAGCATTCCAGGCTTGGATAGCCGACGTCGCCGACCGAATTTTCGTGTGGTGTTCCACAGCCACGCCTTGAGCGATCAGACCGAGCGCCTTCATGTCGTTGAGCATCCAGGCCTCCGTCATCTCCGTCGGGTCCTTCACCACTTGAACGTGCGCCAGCAGCCCCTTCCTCGCGAGCGTCATACGCATCGCGAACTCCCAGTGGAAGTAATTGTCGCTTCCCAGGATGACTTCGGCCTTCTTGCTGGACGCCGTCATGTCGGTCGTCGGGGAGGGCTTGAGCTTGTTGCGGCTGTTAACCTGTTGGTTTGTAGCTTGTGGTTGATGGGGCAAATTCTGAAGTGAGATTAAATGTTATCGTCTCTCAAACAACTCTCTAATCTTCCCCTCCTTTTTTCCTTCTTGTTCTCCTTGTGCTCGTTGGTGCCTCTCATCAGACGGATTACTCCCGGGTTCCGATTGACTCGATCTCAGTATTCTTGGGTCTCCCTGACCAGCCATTGGTATATCCAGAGCCCGGCTGCCGCCGGCTCTCCCGTCGCCATCGGATCCTCCGAGTCATCGGCGGATGTGTCCACACGTTCTCCTCGTCCATGTGCATCTATTGGCGGTGCTCCCGAAGACTCATGAACACAGCACAATACTGTTTCGACCGATCCTACATAGCCCAGTAGAAATGATCAAGCCGTCGCCAACTGTTTGTGCTTCTTCCAATTCCAGTTTCATTATCAATGTTCCCCGAAATTATCTTAAATTTTTGCCAATCTTTATGTAGAATGGGCCTCGTTCGGCACATAATCGTTTTTTTTCACTTTATTTCTGTCGCCAACATAACTGAAATGTTGAGCAAAATCGTTGGAGCTTTCATATCTTGTTCGCTTCTTACCACTTATTTTTTTCCTAACGACTGCACATATCATGTAGCGTCATATTTCCCGTTCCTACCTTCACGAATGAGGCTACTAATAAATATTTAGAGCACCTCGAATTCCAGAGCTTCTTTGGGCGAGACTTTGTTGTTGCGATGCATAGATTATACGATTTTAATCCTTAGTTGAGCTTTTTTTTTACGATTGCAGCTGTCTAAAGCATACATTTTCTGGGTTTATCGTTATGATGACCATCAACTACCGGTATTGCAAGTTGCAATTTGCAACATTTAATCAAAGTATTGTTTCCTATCCGACTATAAGCAAGATCACCAAACTAACTAACAGTGAGTAGGCAGAATAGCTTTTAGCTATTTTGCATCTAGGATGGTAGAAATTTTATAATTCTCGGGTCGGTAGGGCTTCACCTGGGTGAGCTCCTCGTTTGCACTGCCAATGTCGCCTCGCTCTGGCGGGCAAGGCGTCGGTAAAAAGATAGTAACTCTTACTTAGACATACCTACGCGCGGACCATTGCAGACCTCCGCTTCGCTGCCGTTGTAAACGGCGTCTCTGAGGCCTCTCTCGACAGTAATTGATCGTTCTACAACATTATATTTGACATTTTGTGCGGCCAGTGCTGCCTCACACGATCAATACTATGCGTGCGCAGCACTTTCGTTTAAAAAAACGAAGTTTTGCCATGTACGAACTGCGAGGAGGAACGACCCGGGTCACCCTGTGAAAAGGCCTTGGTTTCTGTTACTAAATGTCTCTGCCCTTCTCATTGGACGAGGAGGGGGATGCGAAGCGAAGCTTGGCAGTAAGGGTTAACCCTTTAGCTACATGTACCAGACAATTTCTTAAACTGCTAAGTAGTGTTCTCCATTTACCTGTAAGTTGAAAAAAGTTCCCGCTTACTTTCCGTAAATTAACCAGGGTAAGTCTTACCGGTAAGGGTAAGTGTGAACACTACTGCTAAGCTTGCTACTGCGGGTCGGTGGCTGAGTGAGGAGCACAGCAGCCTCTCGGGCGCGTCGCTGAGCAAGATAATCTCCACGGGCGCACAGGTGAGTTAGTTATGTGATACAGCGCAGCTGACCAATTTTAATCTTGATCTGGGAGATTAAAATCTGGTGCATATGGTCTCACTTGGCGCAGGTCCCGACCACTTGAGCGCTCAAGCAGCAATGACGACGGGCTCTTCGTGGCGGGCGTTCGCTCTGGGCATTCGCTGGGGCTGCGGCCACTCGATCGGGCTCGTGGTCATTGCGCTCATCTTCTTCGCTGCGGGGCAGACGGTGGACTTGGACGCCGTGGGAGGCTACCTCAACTACGCCGTGGGCTTCTTTATGACCGCGCTGGGCATTTGGGCGGCGGTTCACGTGCGGGAGAAGTACCAGACGCAGCTGAAGGAGGGCGTGTAGTCGGTCGTGAGCGCGGAAAGCGGGCGAGCTGAGAGCAACCGCGCGAGTCGGAGCAGCACTGGCGCCACGCCGACCAATTTGGTGGAGCTCATGCCGCTCTCGCAGCGACGAGTGTCGGGTGCCGCAGATTCTGCAATGCCAATGACGTCCCCGAGGACCTCGTCGGTACAGGAGCAGAATATGGAAGCAGCGTCGCCGTCTTCGCCGTTCCACTTGCAGATTAAAGAGGACGGGGCTTCGAGTGCTGCGGACGCCACAGGAACGGCGGTATCCCCGCGAGATAAGGCTTCAAAGCTGCACCCGCACAGCTGGACTTGATGTCGGAGTATGAGCTTCGAAAACCCTGCGACACAAAAGGTAGGTCTTGTGGCTCTACGTACCCGATGTGGCTCCGTTGGCAAACGCTCACATCATTCATTGCACATAATGGCTCTCCTCGTGGGGATCATTCACGGCTTCGCAGGACCTGGTGGAATTCTAGGCGTGCTGCCTGCTGTGGTCCTGAACGATTGGGCCGTCGCGTACCCCGGCTCCTTCTGTGTAGCGTCGATCTTCATCATGGGCGTGTTTGCGGCGCTCTACGGCGAAGTCACTGGTCGTCTGGGTGGCAACTCGCTGGTGATGGAGTTCCGGATCGGAATCTTCTCCGCCTTCCTCTCGTTCATCGTGGGCGTCGCCTGGATCGGCCTGCAGGCGTCAGGCCAGATGGACGCCGTACTCGGAGAATAACTCGATCGCTGTTGGTACATGTAGAGTGATGCGCGCATGTTCACAATCGTTGTGGGTTTCATTGTGCTGGGTGCTCTCTTCGCCACCATCGCCTACCACTGGAAGCAGCACAACAACAAGAGACCCAGAGGATTGCTCAACAATATGCAAAGGAAGTCAAGCAAACAGCGCTCGTTGGGGAGGACCGCGGTTCAAGTAAGTTATGACGACATCCAGGATCTCCGACTTATCGGAAGTAGAGCCTTCAGCGTTGTGTGGCTCGTCGGGTATCGCGATTCGCAGCTACTCGCCTCGAAGCGCATTCAAGAAGACGTCGATATCACGGAGCACACACAGACATTCGTGGAGAAGATTAAGCTGGTTTCCAAGCTCGAGCACCCGAATATCGTCGCCTTCATAGGTGCAGCCTGGAGCTCAGAGTTCGACATGCAAGCGTTGTTTGAATTCATCGAGAATGGCGACCTCCGATCGATACGATCAGCGCCCTCGCTGTCGCGTTACTGGACTCGGATCAAGGTGCAGCTCCAGTGGACGTGATCGAAGCGATTGTGTACCTTCACACCTTCACTCCACCTGTGCTACTCCGAAATTTGAAGTCACACAATGTGTTGATATCCGCAGAAATGCAAGTTAAACTCACCGACATCGGCGCCACACGAAGCCTGCCAGATAGCGGATCTGAAGCTGGGATGCATCGATGGCTTGCACCCGAATTGATATCGGGCAGAAGATATCACAGCCAGCCAGCGGATATATTCGCGTTTGGCGTACTCCTCTCGGAATTCGACATGCACAATCGTCCGTACACTGAACAACGATGGCAGCACTGTAATTGCATTTACTCGCTTCTATTGGTCATAATGAAGACGGTCTTAAACTGCTCCGATGGCCTTAAAGTGGCCGTTTGCCTTAGTGGGTTATTGTCCACTTCCACGCGAGATGGTGAAGAATGCAGCGGTCTTAAGAAAAACACCGACCTCGCCTTCAAGGATCGCGACCTGGATAAGCACAGCAACAGTATCAATAATCGAGACTGTCGAGTCTGGATTTCCTGAAGCCTACCTCTTCTTCCAGCGCGTTGAGCTTGTCCACTTCCGCCTCGGAGCAGTACACGTTCATGTCGACCCTGTCTCACAGCAGCACAATCAAACGTTCATGAGAATATGGGCGAGACTAAGGAGAGCCATTTCCGGAGATTTGCGCGGGGGGCCATTTCACAAAGATAGTTCCAACGAGCTCCTCAAAATCATCCGGTTTAGACATATTAGACATAAGTCAATTTTCAGGTGTGCCCGTCCCACCAAGGTGTGTCCGTTGCAGAGGACGATCTTGAAGCATTAGATGCACTCTTCCTCGAATCTTAGTAAGAACTTCTCGTCCCCAAGAACGGAGCATTAAGGTTGCTATCAGTGCACTTGTTTGGCCGTCTTCTCTCCTATAAAACGCCTCAAAAGAAAGAGCCTCACTTTCAAAAACAAATCAACAGCGAGGCTGCAGCACCCCTCCAGCAACACTCTCCCAAGTATTTGTAGCTTGACTACATGTACCCATGCATATAGTGTGGTACCGGGTTATAATGGCGCCGATGATAGTTACATTCATGACCACGCGGCCTACAGATTATTTCAGTCCGTGCGAAAGTAAACAAAACGCAACATGATTTAGAATACTGCGAACTTACAAGGTTGCTGCGCTTTGGCTGGGAGACCTTTTTTCTACTTCGTATTCTTTTAATCCTAGACGTGCAAGGTCTGCAGGGTTATTGTCAGGCAGATAGTTTAGAAAAAAAAAGTTCAAATGCAGCCCTCAGTGATGCCGGTGTGGCACAATGTAAACACTCTACGTGATGTGGACGCGTGTACCAATATGTAGTTTTGTTGTATATTCTTCGGTGGCTGGTGCAATAGTTGGCGGACTGCCTGTGGAAGGGTTGGGATTTAAGCCACAACTGCAGCTTTCGAGAAGTCTGTCATGAACGATTCTAGCAGTCGAAGGCAGGCAGATGCTGCGGCTGCGAAGCAGGCGCAGGAGATGCCCGTGGATAGCGTTTTTGCAGCACAAACGCTTAGCACAAAATTCGAGTCAAGAAGCACTGTTAGTTGATTCTAACTAATACCTGCCATCTACTGCGCCTGCTTCGCAGCCGCAGCATCTGGCAGGTAATGTGCATTCAAGAATTTTTTAGGCCGAAACGATGTTCCAGCCAGCAGTCTTGTGTACTTTACACTTCTAACTGGCTGTTCTCTGAAATTTATTTCAGAGTTAAGGGGCGATTGGAATCCCTGGCTCATACCTGACCAGCTTGATTCATTGACATCTAGCAGTATAGGCAGGTTTTGATACAAATTAACGGTTAAACTGCAGTACAGTGGAGTGGAAGAAGACGCATACCCCGCCTAAGATGATATTTTAGGTGAATGTTACATGTGGCGGCAGGTTGTGTGGAACACCTCAAATAGCTACATTCGAGCGACCTGAGTCGAAATTTTGCATTAATCGATCAGAATGTAACGATAGAAAAATACAGTACGGGGGGGGCGTGGTCTTGACGCTAAACGTCAATCTTTTGATGGACAGAGTACGACTTCACAGATATTATGATTGTTCTCTCACTTTCCATTTCGCGTTCGACCATTAAACCAAGCACTGATCAAAACAAAAATCCTTTCCGACCGGACAGCTACGGCATTCGACGACTTCGTGAGGCACTACGAGTGCCACGACAAGTCCATCATCAAGGCAACGGCCACCACTTACGGGGGCTCTTTCTCTCTACGCTCTTCACCCGCGCGCAACGTGTTCACCCCTGCTGTTCTGAACAACGTCGTCACTGACGACTTGAGACTGTGCCCTGGCGTGTTCTTCGGCGAAGACTTCACTTCTTCGCATCACGACTTGCGAACGCCATCATGCTACCCCACGTGCACTTCAACATCGAAATTATCGCTGTCCGACTGACGGTGTCGCTTAAGAGACAGCTCTTCAGGAAGGCCTTATGTCGCTGCATCCAGAGCAAAGGCGACTCCGAGGCCACAACCTCGTTTCATCGGATGTCGACAACGCCCTCTAGGCGGCGTTCGAGGCCAAGGTCGAGTGAATCATCCACATCCAGATCGTGGTTGTCGTCTTCATTCTGTACGACCTCATCGGTGTTGCTGCCTTTGCGCGGCTAGGAGTCACTGCCGACTGGATCGTAGCGGGCTCTACCATTGCCAAAGCCCCCAGATACAGGTGCTGCAGTCCAAGTCCACCCGAGAGATCGATACGAAGAGTCCATCAAGCACAAGGAGGTCTTAAATGCCATACAGATCGTCAAGCTGAAAGCGTGGGGCGACAAATTCGCAGATAAATCCACGTGCGATAAATAGAACTGCTGCTGAGCGCTGCAAAGTAGCAGAGAGCTCTGTCCTCCATGACTTTTGGTAAATTTGTACTACCGCAATTCGCATGTAGAGAGCTGCACCCTACCGAATTTGTTTTGTAGAGGGATACACCCTACCGGAGCTAAAATACCAGACGCCCGATTTTGCTCAAAAAACGAATCGGCACCAGACGCCCAGATGTATTTATCAAAATTACTAAACTGAGCACTCTACCTCAAGTCTCTCAAGGCCGAATCTCACCAATGCGGCTGCCGACACAGCCCAACTTATTAGCTTGTTTGCCGCCACCACCCCAACTTGAGATCGAAGTTCAGTAGAGCAAGCTTTGCGTTTGTTCCTGCCGCCGACAGAAGCACCCCCACCACCACTCTTCCCCCTGGATACTTTTCTGTAGGTAGACCCGGAAAGAACGTATCTTCAGCGAAACAAACATTGCAGTGTAGTCTCAGGTGCTCGACCATAGCCTTCTTCATTGCAGCAGTGTAAAATGGTAGGGCCCGCGTCGTTTTCCACCTGCCTTGACCTCCAGACAGGCGAGGGTGACTTGGTGGCGCCCGCGCCGTTGCAGAAATGATCGCGCGCTGAGCGGCCGAGAGTGCAAAAATTACTGGCTTGAAACTGGTGTATCCCTCAACAAGTCAAGCCCTGTCAATCTGAAGACACAATTGTGATTGGCTAATACTATCCTGTATCCCATACGTGGGTGTATCCCTCTACAAAACAAATTCGGTATGTTCACCCCGGTAATGTTGATCTGTATTCGTACTTAAAAGTATCATATACAAAATTCAGCATGTTGTATAAGTCACAACTGTAATATTGTGGTTATATTTTATTTGCCGGGTATAATAACTGGTCTGATTGGATAAAAATATGTAGATCGCTTCATATGATTGGTCGATGTAGGTGCATCTCATAAGCGGGTGCAGCTCTCAACATGCGAATTGCGGTACCATGCTTTCAGCTGAATAACATTAAAAATATTTAGCAGTACAATGAGACCGAGTATATTAAGATAATCTTAAATTTCAGAGCTTCTTCGGACCGCAGGCACGCGACTTTGTTCTGATGTCGAGCAACTCGCAGCAGGTCTATTTAATGATCATTCCCATGGCAATCTACTTGACCGTCATGTATCTACTGCCCAACCGAGATTATTACGCTGTATTCGACGAAGTGGAGACCCTTGGAAATGTGATGCTTTACTGTGTCCTGCAGCTGGCGTCGTTGCTGCTTTTAATCGTTATGCTAAAACGGATGCTTGGGCTTCCACCGACAAGGCAACTCGCGTTTGTCCTAGAGAAGCAGTTCCACTGGGTACAAACTAGCCTTGAGAAACCGGAACTTACGCGTCTTGGATGCCTGATATCTCGACGAGAGCGCAACGGTCAACTTGACAGCCAATTCGCATGATGATGCAACAAAAGCCACTCTCATTGACAACAGTTCATCTTCAACTATCAGCCAATTATATGTTCCGCAATCATAAAACTAGCCAACTATTTAAAAAAAACTCTTTTTAAAAAAAATAACGCCAATACCTGGAACACCTCATTTCGTATATTTAGGGGTTAACAATCGCTTCGGAATACAACTGTAGCTTTCCAGGACCTCCCGGTAAGCTGAACCATTATAAATTTTGCGCTAGAAATTACTGGGTGGCGATATTAGACACATAGGTAAAACAAACAAATTGAAGAATATTCACGTCAAGCTTACCTTGCACCACTCGGTGGAAGCCGAGATATTGGGCGGTGAACACCTTCGCTGCATGTCATTGGCTATTCGAACCTTATTTACCACTTGACAAACATCCAGTTACCGAAGAGCTGTAATGTTGTTGTGTAGTAGCCATGTACTTTGCACTAATATCAGGGCACCGCTATTTCCCCACACACGACACATTACATTATCTTCCTAGAGCTGCAAACCCTCACTAAATCTTACCTAAACCAACGAAGCAAAGTGCACTCGTGGGCACGTAGCTAGTGAATCATACTCTTCGTTGGTCCTTCGAGTCCTTAAGAGTGTTTATAAAATAGATATTCGTAAGTTAGCACCAAGTGCTTTACCACGCAACTTGCAGCGCAAAACTCGCGTCGTAAACGACTTACCGGGTAGGCTACAGTTGACTCCCGAACCCGTTGTTAATAGTATAATATCTGGTTCTATTTGAATGGCTGGTTCAACTTCCATTAAGCGTGTGCAGACAGAATGTTTGACTCAATGGGACGCAAAGTATTCTTCGCTTGATTTCCTTGCAGGTCACTTTTCAATTTGGAAGCGTTGACTCATGAGTCCCACGTTGTGCGCCTTCGAATAGTAGGTCCATCTTCTATTAAACTCGTTGTTCCCTATGCGGAATGTTTGGCTCTATGTGAAGCAAAGTATTTCTCCTTTTGGCTTTCTTACACGTCACTTTTCAACAAGGAGGTGTACCGCGATGAGTCCCTTATTGACCGTGTTGTATGCAGCGGTGCTCTTCCTACTCCACGCTCTACCTTGCCTCTGCTCCACAACACAAGTCGTGATCTACACCGGCCTTGACGTGGACGACGATCGATGGTCGTTCGAGTCTTTTACGACGCAAAGTGCTACACGTTCAGCTCTTGCCTGGACGGTTCTAACGTTGGCGCCGACTGGGAAAGCATCAAGAGGCAGGCGATCGTGCTTTACGAAAAGGAGCAGTGTCAAGGAAAGAAGCTCATCAGCCACACTCTCCCCAAAGGACATGTTATGTTCCCATCCGACAAAGGTGCCAAGTCGTTCATGGCCTGGGAGGAAGAAGTGTACCCGACGAATGGCATCGAGCACGAGTGTCGGCGAGCGATTCTCAACATGACAGGCAACTCGTCTGAGAGCGCTGGAGTTGTTCGGCTATCGTAGAACTCACGCAACCAAGTTTGCTGGTAAATGTTTTGTTTTATTTAAAAATCAAAATAACGTGAGCGTGGCTAGATGTAATGTGTTTCACATTTACGTTCCCTCGCTTGATCAAGATTCCGCATTGAGCCACGCAAACTGGAAGCTGACAAACATCAAAATTTAGTTTACTCTCAACTAAAACTAGCAATGGAGCATCTCAGTCGCGTTGCTCCGTTGAGTTGCTTAGGGGGTCGACAGCCTGCAGTGGAGTCTCCACTACAGGCCGACGTCCCCGCCCTTTAAGTAGATCCAATAAATTCATCAATAACCTTGATCATGCTTTGCTGGGAAGAGAAGCAAATCAGAGTCTCAGTTCAAATCCAGATGATCGAATCAATAAACAAATAGCAACACTAGTTGGGCTGCATGATGGATCTTCATTGTCAGCAACGACATTATCGCTAGCTTCATCCTTGGGGCTGCACCGGATCCAGCAAAACAACAATTAGCTCCTAGATGCGACAATGGGCTCGTTCGCATGAAAGCTGGTTGCTGGGCTGGGCCCTGTGGGTCCAAATGCTTTACCAACACTCGCTCACTACCGATAGAATATAGATACGAAGACTGAGCTGCGTCACTACCAGGAGCTCTCCTGGCTACATGTACGCGAGTTTCACAGAGTGCATACAACATAGTAATGTGTGAAACAGCGTATTGAACGTGGTGGTCTGCAAAGCTAGCGTGGATGCAGGCAAGTTGAAGTGCACTCTCTTTTAGCAATTTTACCCTTGCCAGCACTAACTCACTCCTAGTAGTGGATGGACTTGGTGCTATAAATCAGGGTGAAGCCGAGGGCTAGGTGACGATTTATTTGCGATCTAAAGTGTAGCAATTTATCTAAAACCGCGATTCGCTTCCCGCTGCCTGTTTGATTAGCTTTTATCGTCGAGGCTAAATCGTGTCCCCCCACTTTAATGGCATCGACCCCTTCCCACCAGGGGTCATTCTAGTTTTTACACAGCGAAGCGTTTCTTTGGATCAAAAGAGGGTTGTTCACCCGAGGTTTATTGCGTGGCCCCGGGGTAGCGATTCACTTGTGTCGAGCATTCGTAAGACAGTTTGACGACAAATCAAATCTAGTGATTTGATTGGCGAATAGTACGACTTGCCAATTCTGTTGGCACTGCCACCGCGTTCCTCTTCGCTACTCTTTTTGATGCATTTCGTTGCACTTCGTATCCTGACTAATATCGGGCGCAGCATAGTAGTGGTAGTAATGATTGGCGGTTCGATAAAACTGTGCGGAGGAGCGCTGCGACACCAACAAACTCCCTCTACATATTTAAAACACCACGGCGAGCTTAGATCGTTTAGATTTCCTAGTACTACAGTAGCAAGCCGAGCAAACTGGTAAGCGCCTTCAGCCGGGCTGATCAATTACATTAGCTTTGGCATTTTTCATGTATTCCCGAGAAGTTTCGCCGCTCATTTGACTCTTAGAGGCCCTCACGTCGTTGCGACACCACCAACAGCTTGCCTACACGTGGCCGCGGGTGAGGTCGGAGGTGTCCACTACCGACGTAGGTGGAGCTGCAGCAGTGTACGCCTCCGGGAGTAAGGCAGCCAAGCAAACCGCAACAAATACAAATACCAAGACTGGCTGACGCTGCCTTGTTGCTACTACAAAACAGTTCATTTCATGGCTTTGGTAAGATCCCATAATGTATTGAATGTCTACTCCCTCGCGTCCTCCGACAACGCCTCGGTGCGGAGCATGTGTGCGCGCTCGTCGTGCATTGTTTCGCTCGGAGGCGTCCTCAGAGGACACGACAGGGTTCGTGGGCCGCACTACCGGATGAAGAGGGGCTCTATTTGGTTATGCATTAACTAGAATTCACTATAAAGCCCTGAACGTTTTGTTTGTCAAGCTGGGCTAATGGTTCGGGTGCATTTATTTATTAACCATTCTCAAACAAGCGTGTACATTGTAGTTGGCAGTAGGGCCGCACTACCGACTACATGTTCGTGCTTGTGAGCGCCTTATTTCGTCGGCTCGACTGTAGGTGGCACGAGCAATTCAAAAACGGCAAAGCGGTTGTCCTCGGGTTCCTACATGCTTAACGGAGGAACGCACGCAACGACACTACCCTCTTTCGTGCAGAAAGTTTTGGCCAATCGCATGGTGCAAATTGTTGTCCGACAAACTGTCTTACGTTTTGACGGACAAAATACAATGTAGCCACTGGAATACTAAAACCAAGATGTAGCCAAAATGCGTTGATTGCAAAACGTATGACACTTTGTCTTACGGTAGGCTCTCTGGGGCTAAGTATCGTCTTACGAAAGAGCATGAATCACCTGTTGCTGCCCCTTGCTTGCCGTGCCGTGGGTGGCCCAAGGAAGGCCCTTTGACGGACACGGGTGGTACAGTGTATCGTTTTCAGATTACGCGGACAAGAGACGTACATTTGGTGAGCGCTCGACATGTAGGCTACGCTACGGTGTGGTTCTACCTGAGCTTCTAAGCTTACGTGCAAATTCGTTGCTGTACTTACGCGTTGAGTAGAGCGGCGATGGCGGCTGAAAGCATTAGGGCTGCGACCGAAGCGGCGGGCGTTGACGTCGTCGCAGCGGATTTCTTGGCCGTGCCGCTGCCCGAGGACGTGAGCGCGTCCACGCCGTTCGACGGCGTGCGCTTCTCGCCCACGGACGTGCTCGAGTCGGTGTGCGTGTACGAGTTGGCGCTGCTGCCTTTGCACACGGGTTGCAGCGCGGTGCACCCGGCAGCAGTGGTTCACTGCTCATTCCCGAATCATCAGCAGAATGGGCACAACGGCGTCCGCACCCCAACGATCCGCCTCCGACTGGCGCTCCTCCTCCGAAGCGTCCGATGACTCGGAGCCGGAGGAGCTGCTGCCGCCGTTCGTGGGGAGCGTGCAGGACATGGTGGTCCTCGCCAAGAGCGAGCAGGACGGCGCGAGGCTCACGACGCTGGTGCACCAGGCGGCCGAGCAGGAGCTCGACCTCTTCCACTACGCAGCGGCCGTGGCCGACCAGGACTTATTCAGTATGATCATGGCGTTCCTGCCCACGCCCGTGTTCGCGCGCGAGATGCGGCGCCGCAACGCTAACGACCGACGGCCCCTCGAGTGCTGCGAGCACATGCACCCGGCGCTGGCCTCGGCGCTCAAGACCTTCTTCATCAAGAACGGCGTGGATCTGGACGCCGACACCAACACTGCCGGGGCTGACAGAGCGCAAGTCGGACGGGCCGGCAAGCTGGATAAAATCGTGGGGATGAACGAGCCTCGCGAACGCATCATGCAGGCCATTCGGCTGAGTGAAACAACGCCCGACGTGCCCGTCAAACCGCTGCTGCTAGAGGGCCCGCCTGGTACGGGCAAGAGCTTTTTGGCGACGTGCATCGCCGCCGAACTGCAGCGCGAGGTCGTGGAGATCAAGACGCACGACGTGCTGAGCCACCGACTCGGTGGAACCGAGTCCCAGGTCCGCGCGTACTTCGAGCGCGCTGCGCGGGTCAAGCCCTTGCCAGCGCTCGTGGTCATCAACGAGTTTGAAAGCTTGTGCCCGAAGCTAAAGGACTCGAGCGAAAGCTGGCACTCGACGCTGCGTCAGTGCTTCCTCACGCTCTTCGACGACACCATCGACCCCGCGTCCAAGTTGTGCGGAGTCCGCGTGGTCCTGACGACCAACTTCGTGGACAACGTCGACCCCGCAGCCTTGAGCCGCATGGAGCGCATCCACATTCCGCTGCCGTCCGCGTCCGACCTCAAGCTGCTCTTCCCCAAGCTCTGTCGCGAGCGCGTGCCGCAACTCGGCGTCCAGCGCGTAGATTGGGACTCTGTTGCCTCTGTTGGTCACGAACTGCTGTCTGTGCGTGGAGTTCAAGACGTGATCGCCAGTGTGGCGAGGAAGCAGCTTGCGTCTGACACTGCTGTGACCTCGAGCGACTTCGAGGCAGCAGTGTACGAAGTAGTCGGCGACGTCCATCCAGAACCACTCAAGCGCGCCGACAAGTTCATCCGCGTGGATATCCCGCCCAAACGCGTGCGGTCCGCCAACCTGGCGTCGTGTGTCGCGCGATGCGGCTGGCGCTTTTCCAGCGCTCCGACTGCGGTATACCGACAGCTTTTCACGCTTGAAGAGGTCAATGCGACGTCGGCGTTTATCCTCCGTGAGGTGGAGACAGACAAGGTGTTTTCCGGTCGAGGCTGCTACCGCGCACTGGTTAACCCACGCGCCGACCAAAGCCAGTGGAAGCCTTTCGACAAGTACGAGGTGCGAACACGCTGGTCGCGTTTGTAGGCTCCATGACTATGCTGACTCGCTCTTTGGCTTGGTAAACTTGCAGGTCTTCGTGCGGTGCGTTGCCTCTGACGGTGATAAGATGGTGGCGGATGAAACGACCTCGATGTTCATCGAATCGAGCGGGAACGCAGGCGTGCAGAGACTTGAGTGGACAAACACTGGAGCCCACCTAGCAGTGTACGAACGCGGGGCGTCGTCGGCTACTGTGTCGGCATGCCTCGCACCGCGGATGAAGCTGTTTGAAGCGGACTGTGTTTTCGTTGAGTCCAAAGCCAAAGCCGAGCTCAAGAACGCAGACCCCAAGTCGGTCTTGGTGCTCCGCACCGACGACGACTCGTACCTTGTGGGCAGTGATGCTGTTCAAGTGGTGGGAGGAGCGACTTTGGACACGGCGGATCGACTTGGCTACCGAGTCTTCCTGGCTGCAACAGCGCCAACTGAGCTCGTTCCACCGCACCGCACGTTGCTGTCGCCTAACTTTCACCTCCTGACACGCCGGAGAACGCGGGTTTGAAGCGGCTTGTGATCGGCCAAAAGAGATTCATCGTGTGTTCAAACACGGCGACCACGGTCGGTTTGACTTTGCGCGCCAATAGCGTCTTCTACGCGGCGTTGGGCGTGGTCTACGTGCGCCAAACGCAGTTTAATGCCGCAGACATCGAGAACCTGCGCCGGCTTGGCCACAAAGTGCTGGCAGTGCCTTCAGACGGCCCCACGTCAGCTTGGAGCGGCCCTTCCATCGCCGACTGCGCTCGCGAGGCCAGTTTCCTCGCCCAATTCGACGTGTACACACCGTGCACCGGTCCGACTCAAGTGCTTGCGGCCGGAACGACTGTAATGCTCGACGTTGAGGTAAGCCATCGCAGTTTGATCTATTGACGGTGATGCACAGCTAACTAACCCTTACATTGTCGGTCATTTTCCAGGCTCTGTCGCAACCGCTTCTCGGCCGACAAGAAGTTTGTCATCCTTCGGTACTACCCGTCGGCGCAACTGGTGCTTCAGGAGCTGTCGACGCACCACGGTGCAGTCATCAACAAGTCGGGCGCACGGGTGCGTGACAAGGGCTACAACGACGATGTGTTCCTCAAAGGATACCGCAAGGGCTGGTATGAGGACGTCTACTGGCGCACGGTGGGCGACCACCCGAATCGGTTCCTCTCCGGCGGCGTGGACGGCAGCGATTACAAGTTTAACATCCGCAATGAACACGGCTTCGGCTTCGGCAACCGCCGCATCATGGTCAAGTTGCCGGGAGATGGCGTCGTTTTCTGCCGAGGCGTGGACGGTGACGCAGGAAATCCCAAGATGGCGTGCGTTCTGTTCAATGCCGACGGGTCCGTGCGGGATGCAGAGGGGTACAAGGGTCTTCTCGGACGCTGGAGCGACATCGTCCAGTAAAAGGAGCTCTGATCAGCATGAACGCAGCCTATACGTATTGTTTTCAATCACATTCATGTACATTTTAACCATTACATGAGAACAGAGTACGGCATCCATAGGAGCGCATTACAAGGAGCCTTCGCACGTGAATACCGTGCAATGGCCGATCTAATTGACGCTCTAGAAGAGCGACATGGCAGTGGCCGCCACCGTGGCCACCGACAGAACGAACGCCGCGGCAGACGCCGTGGCACTGGCGCCGCTGCTTCCCGTGGTGGCGTCCGTAATGGACGCGCTGCTGCTCTCCTCGTTCGTGGGCGTTCGCTTCTCACCGACGGCGGCGCCCGTGGAGTGGTGCTCGTAGCTGTTGCCCTTGATGCCGTTGCAAACGGGCTGCGTGATGGTGCACTCCAGAACGGGGACTGCAAACAATGCACAGGATTGATAGGATGAGTTCTCAAGCCCAAAGCTGCGGTCACACGAGTTGGCGGAGATAGCTTACCCTTGGGCGTAGGCGGCAGCTCGCTCGAAATGTTCTTCGAGCACTCCAGGATGGCGGTGCGCGTAGGCGTGTAGCTGTCGTGCTCGACGGTGGAGTTCTTCGTGGTCGTGTACGCCTTCTTCAGGTTGTCGTACTCCGGGTAGGGCGTGAAGACGCACTCGGTGAGCTCGTTGTCGCAGTCTTCCGGCATGAAGTAGCCAACGCCGTACTTGCCCGCGTCGCCGGTCTTGGTGAGGGCTGAAAGGGGTCAAATACAGATCAACCGTTAGTAAAAGGTTGGATGAAACATCAACTACTGAAACAGGACGCACTCTTGCTCTCGACCAGGTTAGCAATCTCCGTCGTGAACTCGAAGACGTTGCTGCCCACGATCTCGTCCGTCATCTCCTTCTCCTCGTTCATCCACTTGGCCTGCACACACCAATTCGTCAGCAACCGATCCTTATCAACATCTTCACAGTCCTTTGGCACTTACATCGAGGAACGAGCGCTGGTTCTCGTAGCCCTCAACAGTGTTCTTGCCCTTGTTGCATCCGAACTCGCCGAACATGAGCGGGTGAGCGTAGCCGACCTCGGCGTACTCGGACATGAGCTTCTTGAGGCCCGTCGACTGCGAGTACTCCAGGTGCGTGGCGGGGTCACCCTCGACGTACGGGTTGAAGCCCATCCTGTTGTGGAGCACAAGAGACGGTTAGTAAGTGCAACCAGCTCTCTCGTAGCGGGCAGTTCGTACCATTCGGCACGGGTGTTCTCGTCATCGTCAATGGCGCAGTCGTAGTACGAGATCCACTGCTCACGAGGAGGGATGTCGGCAATGTCCAGGCCGATCGGCACCTGACGCACGGAGCCCGAGCAACTCGCAGCGTAACTGCGCGTGTCACGCAGGAAGGCCTTGACACACGGAGCCGTGGTCGTGCCAGCGGCGCCGTTCTTCACCTGGAGGTTGTTCTCGTTACCGACACTGAAGCCGAGCGTGTTGTCGTACACCGCGAAGGCGTTGTAGACCATCTGCGCGCGTGAACAGGTCGTCCGGGTAGCACTTGGGCGGCTTGAAGTCGAGCACCGAGCAGTTCTCGCACCTGCCAGTAGAACACTGTTAGTAAATTTCAAGAAACTACAGCAACACCTAAATTCTAAGTACTCACGGAGCGGTCATGCCCACGAGCACGTAGATGCCCGCTTAGGAGCACGCGCACATGAACTTGTCGTGGGACTTGCTGGGGTCCACCGAGTACAGTCGGATGGTATTGACGCCGAGGTCCTTCATGACCTCGAGGTGGGGCTTCCACACGGCCTCGTGCTCGTCGGCGGCCCAGTCGTAGTTGCTCACGTCGGCCATCTCGCCGCTGTTGGGGCGCGGGTAGTACGCCATGCGGAACTCCATGCCGGTCTCCGAGTTGAAGAACTTGTTGCCCTTGGTGATAATGGGGGCAACCCACGCATCGGCCGGGGACACGACGACAGCGGTGGCGAGTGCGGCGGCGGCGCAGAGTCCGCGGATACGGGAACCGAAGGCCATTGTTGATGAGGTTGGACTGGAGTGAGGTGAGGTGAGAGGCTGTAAGTACTGAGTCGACCTGTGCAGGGCTTGTCAGTGGGGAGTCCGGTCGCTTCTCGTCGACGGCGAGCAGCAAAATGGAGAATGAAGAGCGGTCAGGTGGGAGAGCGAGCTCAGCTCATGCGCTCTTAGGCCCGTTCTCAACCGGCCGCATGCGGCCGCACCGCATCGCACAGTTTTGTACAATGCGGCTGCATGCGGCCGCATCGGTTGAGAACGCTCGTACGGCCGCATTGTGCGCCCTACCCGCATGAGCTTCCAGATGACATCGGCCAATTCGAACTCAAACATACCAAAAGCAGCAACGCGAAGTATGATGAGTTTTGCCGAAGACTCGTATTTCTCGATGCTAGCTCATACACCAACTGAAAACAATTTATGAACAAGTACTTGTACGCCTGTAGTGGATTAATGCTAAATAGGTATCCGACGTACCAGTAGATTAAAACCAAACAGCAAGAATGCAAGGCAACTCACAAAAACTGTAATGAAAACGGAAACTCGTTAAAAATTTCTAAATCGGCCATCGATTTTGAAGCTACACGCGCTCTACGCTAAAGGAATCTATTTTGCTTTGTGCAGCAAAAGATTACGCACTTATATCTCTTCATTATACTGGTGGGGTTAACTTACAAGTAGCTTCTGTAGCATAAGTTGACGATCCACTCATTGAGTAGCTCCACCATATCGCTGTAGGTGGACGGTTTTTCTTCACACTGCTGGTTGACCAGCGTAGTAGCTCTTTTTGTATCGCTTTCCTTATTGTTGTCTGCGCCAGGTTTTTGCTGAAGATGTTTGCAATATGCAGAAACACAACAAGTTTTTCGACATACTCACATTTTATTTTAGTGCTAAACCTCTGTTGACTCAAATAAAAAGCTCTACTGATGCCACCTAACCGTGCCTTTCGCCTCAGCACGCCTTCGCCGATATCGTGCGGGCATGGAGGTATACGTTAGCTCGCTTGAAAGCCCAAACATCATGGTTGGCTGTGGATATGGGCTGTTTGTCATCATAAATCAAGTAAAGTTAGCAAGGTCTCGAATGCATAACAACAATCATCTTCATAGGCACTGCAGCCGAATTGTTTGGCCCCTATATATGGTATGCACGTGCTGGTAACTGTCGGCAGCAGTCGCAGCTATTAGTTTTTACCTCACGGTACACGATAACATTTAACTCTCACGCACACGACTCCGTCAACCGATGCATGTTATGACTACATGTATATTGGCTGATACATAACTTCACACGTAGGGCGATACGCTAGTGCATGTTGATCTACGCCTGCTAAAGAGCAGGTAGACGTAGTACACGCTTCCCGGCGGTGGGGGTTCTACATCTAAAGCTAGTTTCCACTACCTGCAACATGTATCTACTTCGAAATAGATGTAACATTACACGTTCTGTACGATGCACTCAATAATAACACGAAATCGTGTACATGTAGGCCGGATAGAGTAGCGGGCCCCCTTTGTGTTGGTGTCCGCTAGCACCAGCGGCCCGAACACTTGACGCTGCAGGCGATTGCTTAGCCACAGTCGCCAAAAAACCCTCGGAGCCTCTCTGGCGCACAGCAGAATCCTTTTTTTTTCAGGCTGCCGGTGCGCGGTTGCCTTAGCTGCTGCTTTCGAGCAAAACGAGCGCAACAGGAGCTTAGGGACATCACCAGGCTCGGGAGAGTGGAGAACCTGGTGCTGACGCTGTGGACGCAGCGCGAGGAGCTTTGCTGGCCGCCCACGCCGTCGCCAGCGACCGCGAGGACGCGCAGCAGCAGCTGGCGCAGCCACTCAAGACGCTGTCGGAGGAGCTGGAGCTCGTGGCGGCCGCTGCGACGACCGTGCCGCTCGCCGCCGCGCTGACCCCGGACTTCTATGCAAGCTACCTGCTCATTGTGCTGCTGGCGAAGAAAATGTGCGTGAGCAACATGGCTACAAAATGGCGGACTGGCAGACTGAAAAAATCCTACATGTAGTCTTTCTTCGTACAGGAATGACGCGCGGTTCCTGTGGAAGCGCATCGCGCGGAGAACTCCGAGGAGGTCCCGTGCTGTGTGGGAGATCGGCAAGGCGCTGTGGCAGCGTTGGAGTTGCTGACGATTGCTTGCGGATTATGCGGACAGGAACCTGGCTGCGCAGCGTATAATATGCCGCAATGAACTACGACTGGTCTCCGTCGCTGCAAAGGACTGATCGAGGCTCTGAAGAGTGCGTGCACTTCTTCTTCTCATTGAATTGTTGTGTTAAAGTTGATGCTGGCCTGACCCTTGTTGTTGCATTGTTGTGGTTATTGTATAGCTGCCACCCGCGAGGGCACTGCAGAGCTGCTGAGTCTTGCGTATTCGACAATTTCGGTCAGCGATGCCGCGCTGGGCTTAGCTCGGCACGAAGACGCGATGCAGTGTACGTAGCCATTGGAGGCAATCACGTTGGTGAGAGTATCGAGCACTCACAATTCGTTGCTGCTTTGTCGCAATAGACTGCTCGTCGCTGAACTGGGAGGTGAATGCGGCGGACCAAATGATCCTGCCAGAACACGGAGGCTCTGCAAGTCAAAACACCAGTGACGCCGAGTCCACCGTCAGCACGCGCAGTAGCAAGAGCAGCAAGAACAACAGCAGCAGCTCGTCGTGGAAGCAGAAGCGGCGACGGCTCAAGACGGAGCGGCTCAGCAGCACGACCATGGCCATTGGGACCTCCGTCATCTCCAAAAGCTCCCCCAGTCTGGCAACTGGTCGTCTACATCCCCACCGTGCTCCTGTCCTCCTGCCGTGTCCGAGGCCGTATTGCCCTTGGTGCTCTTGGGCCAGCACGTGCCGCCTTGTAGTTCGTCCACGTCAAGGCTCCGCAGCCTTACTTTTGCGAGCCACAGCGTGCAGAAGTCCGACACCTGCACGTTCGAGACGGACTTGATGCCGCCCGGCCAAGCGCCCTCGGGGTTTGCAAGGTCGTGCAGATCGGGGCGACGACCTGGCGGTGACGAATCCCATCGAGCAGAAGGCTTGCGACGCTTTCCTGCTGAAGGTGAACCAGATCGCCAGCAACACGGCGTCGATTGAGGCAGTGACGGTGGAGAAGAAGTCTGGCTAGACATGTTCATTGCTGACCTGGAGGAGTGTGGCCGCCGGTGTTAAGAAGGGCGCTCCGTGCCATGCTGAGCGTTTGGTCAAGTACAACCAGGCTCAGTCTATCGAGAAGGATCGCGACGATAAGACAACGCTAGTGGGAATGGAGAAGCTGGACAAGTACGCGACTTCTAGGCATGAACTCGTGCGTATACAACTAAGTCTGGGCAAAGGTGTAGATACATGTCGAGGTGGTGCTGGTGGCCAGCTTCAGACCTTCAGAAGCAGCATCCCCATTAGTCCACAGTCGCTCACTGTGGCTGCCAAAGAGCAGCGCAGAGCTGAGTTGAGTCGTGTCGTGTCGCCTGTGGATTTGGAGTCCAGTGTAGTTCACCTACATCTCGTCGCAAAATTCAACAAGGTAAATCTTGTAATACTACAGCGGGAGGGTATCGAAAAATGAAACTTCAATTGCCTGTTGACTGAGCGATCCTGGGCATCATGGCATGCAGAAGTCCGGGACCAGAGTGTTGCCGAGCAGCAGTCCGTCTGACGTGAAGAGATATCACGACCTCGCAGTTGAGTCCTTGGGCCCCGACACTAGTGCCGGGGCTATTTGAGAACTGGGCGGTGATGCCTCGGCAGCATTCCGCCTGCAGAATTGTGCTAGACTTCCAGCGTGCAGGTCTTGCAGGCGCTTGAACTCCGGTGTATCCGACTTGGGCATCTGCACCTTGTCCACGGGTGATGGAGGCTTGGAGGCACCAGTGTGTGGCCGTTGGCGTGCAATGTCTTCGATTCTGGCACATAGATGGTGTACTGTATATATAGCCTATGCATCATCGCAAGGAACAGGACGTAAGGAAACTATGGGATCTGCTGCGCCGCATGATGCGATGCATGTACGTGCATGCATTTTTAGCGGCGTATATATAGACAGATGAGGTCTAGAAGGATGCTGCATCATCGCAAAGAACCGAAAAAATGCTTAATTATGTCTGCTGTTTAGTCTTTCCGTTTTTGTGTTTTTCGCGCTTTCATACGTCTACAGCAAACGTATGAAAGCGCAAAAAAAACGCAGGGTACATGTTCTCTGAAATTTATTTCAGAGTCTACCGGTGATACTACTTTCCGCGCTGTTTTTATATATTAGAATTTAGCGATGCCCTCTTTGCTTGAATAGTGTATCTGATGTACGGGTCACCCATTTCATATCAAGGTTTTTGTTAAAAAACACAGCCTTCGTAATTTATAGAGTCTGATTGTCCATAAATCTTATCAAAGTAAACAGTTGCTGGTCCAACACATAATGAAAAGCCTTTAATATCGTATACCTCTTGTCTTTATGAATCGCCCACGTGAATGTTGACCCTGTCGGCGACGCGTCCATCTCGCGCTACACGCGAATGTAAGTAATTAAAACGGTAATTTATTGAGTGGGTTTTTCTTGGGATAAATACAGGTCTCAATTTATCCCATGGGACCCGATCTTCATTTTTGCCAGACACCACGCACCCGAGCTGGGCATTGCCGACTTTGGCGAGAGCGAGGAGCAACGCAGACTGAGGAGACACACGCCGCTCGGCGCCGAGAAGTACGAGGTCGGAGCCACGTACACCTTCGATAATCTGGCGCTGGGCAACAAGGCGAGCGACTACACTAGTTTCGTGAACATCGCGAAGGGAACCCCAGCGAGGACCCCGTCACGCCGCTTACGCTGGGCAAAGCGCCGCCGCTGTTGAAGCAGTTCTAAAAACTCAATAGACGACCTGACTCTCATCGTCATCGTAACCTTTTTTACTACCCTTATTTCACCCTGACCGGAACTTTTACCCAGAACTCTGCGCATGTATTAGGATTTTTTACTACCCTTATTTTCACCCTGACCGGAACTTTTACCCGGAACTTTTTTCCGGGTAAAACACCAGGTCAGGCCAAACATCCGGGTAAAGCAAGAGTGTGCTTTGAATTGATATTTAGTAGCAGTGTTTAATACATGCTTACGATGTGCTATGGTGTGCTTGGAAGTACGCAGATGTGCTGTACACGGCCGAGCAGTTCGTGTCGTTCGGGCCGCAGGCCGAGATCAAGGAGTACTGCACGCTGTTGTCGTACCATATCCACCGTCGTCGGCAATCCTGTCGCCCGAGCACAGCATGAATGAACTCAAATCTGACCGAGGCGTCGGTGCCCAGGGACGCCTGCACCAACAACCGAACGCACTGCCTCCGTTCCTGGCGTACTCGGGCTCGAGCAACGTCACGGCCTCAGTCGTGTACGTGTACAGCACGACTTTGTATGAATACGTGTTAATGCTGAACACGTACAGTCGATAAAAAAAACGTTCAACTCGTTTCAACAACAATCGAATGCTAAAATGTTTCAACAGTAACCGAGTAAATGCTAAAACCCGACGAATGTCTTAAGCGCCATCACATCAAAAGTTCTGCTCTTCCACCTCCATGGCCTGCGTGGCCCCGATATTCAAGCATCTCGGCGGCAGGTTCTACTGGTGTAGCGTATGTTGCAAGCAGTACAGCCTGGGCTATGCCGATGGAAGGACGCACTATCAAAACATGAAGGCTCACCTGAACACACAAGTCCACAACAAGAGGAAAGAGCGACTCGAGTCTCAAGCTCGACAGCAACAGCATCAGCGTGAGAGGCTGCAACTCGACCAACAGCATCAGAGTGGGCGTGAGGGGCTGCAACTCGACCAACAGCAACAGAGTGGGCGTGAGGGGCTGCAACTCGACCAACAGCAACAGCATCAGCGTGAGAGGCTGCAACTCGACCAACAGCATCAGAGTGGGCGTGAGGGGCTGCAACTCGACCAACAGCAACAGCATCAGCGTGAGAGGCTGCAACTCGACCAACAGCATCAGAGTCGGCGTGAGAGGCTGCAACTCGACCAACAGCATCAGAGTCGGCGTGAGAGGCTGCAACTCGACCAACAGCATCAGAGTGGGCGTGAGGGGCTGCAACTCGACCAACAGCAACAGCATCAGCGTGAGAGGCTGCAACTCGACCAACAGCATCAGAGTCGGCGTGAGAGGCTGCAACTCGACCAACAGCATCAGAGTGGGCGTGAGGGGCTGCAACTCGACCAACAGCAACAGCATCAGCGTGAGAGGCTGCAACTCGACCAACAGCATCAGAGTCGGCGTGAGAGGCTGCAACTCGACCAACAGCATCAGAGTCGGCGTGAGAGGCTGCAACTCGACCAACAGCATCAGAGTGGGCGTGAGGGGCTGCAACTCGACCAACAGCAACAGCATCAGCGTGAGAGGCTGCAACTCGACCAACAGCATCAGAGTCGGCGTGAGAGGCTGCAACTCGACCAACAGCATCAGAGTGGGCGTGAGGGGCTGCAACTCGACCAACAGCAACAGCATCAGCGTGAGAGGCTGCAACTCGACCAACAGCATCAGAGTCGGCGTGAGAGGCTGCAACTCGACCAACAGCATCAGAGTCGGCGTGAGGGGCTGCAACTCGACCAACAGCATGGGCGTGGGAGTAAACGCGCACGGCTTGTAGTCGACTTGACGACTCCTCCACCGCCGCAACCTGCGAGGCAGCAGAAGCAAGTGGAGACGCGGCGAGAATCTCAGTCTTCTGCTCGTCGCCAACTTCAGATGGACACCTTGAAGGAACGTGGCTCTACTAGTCGCCAACATGTGGAGAAGCGGCGCCCCTCTGCTCGCCAACGTTCGGTGGACACCCTGAAGCAACTTGAGCGCGGCTGGAAGTACTAGCAACGCAAGTTAGGTGCTAAGGTGTGATACGACAGCGCTTTCTCCGGGGTCTACCAAGGCCGGGCCGTCATTCTTTAATTTCCTTGCCAAGTGTTCAAGCTCCCTCCACCTCAACGGCAGCGCTCCAAGGGCAGCCAACCCAGCGGCCGATGCCCGGACAGTCGAGCCTCCAGCGTCCAATTCCAGCAATACAGTAGACCTCAAGGTAAGAGAGAGATTACAGGACATGTAAAGCATGAATGGAAGAGGTAGCGCTAGTGTTGCGGGTTGTGTGTATTGATTAAAGTCGCCCTCTACTGCAGACTGCCATGAAGATGGCGCCGTCCAGGCCCGCCGCCTTCGCGAAGCCCTTCGTGCTCCGCACGTTCGCCAACCCGACGGCCACGTCGCTGGCCATCGAGAAGTTCGGCGTGACGAACGCCAACACCATCCGCAACCTGAGCTACGACGAGATCGCCGCCCACAAGGCGAAGAACGGCGAGGGTCAGTTCGTCAAGAACGGCACATACGGGCAAGTTCACGGGCAGCTCGCCCAAGAACAAGTACATCATGGACCAGGCCCCGTCCAGCCAGAACATTTGGTGGGGCGACATCAACCATCCCGAGAGAGCCGAGGTGTTCGACGAGCTGTACGAGACGGTCACCAAGCACTACAGCTCGGCCGAGAAGGTGTACGTCTTCGACGGCTACGCTTTTCGAGTCCGACTTCACTATCGTCAACGCCTGCAAGGCACTAACAAGAACTACAAAAACACGGTCTTAACTCGGAGGTCTTTGTTGCCTTCAAGATCGAGAACGACGTGGTCATCGGCGGCACCTGGTATCGCGGTGAGAAGAAGAAGGGCATCTTCTTGCCGTTGGACGGCATCATGGCCATGCACTGCGCGGCCAACAAGGGCAAGAACGGTGACACCGCCCTCTTCTTCGGCCTGTCGGGCACGGGCCGCAGCGTTACCTCATCGGTGACGACGAGCACGGCTGGGACGACGAGGGCATCTTCAACTTCGAGGGCGGCTGCTACGCCAAGACCATCAACCTGAGCCAGGAGAACGAGCCGGACATCTACAACACCATCAAGCGCGATGCTTTGCTCGAGAACGCGTTCGTGGACGCCGAGGCCAAGGAGCCCGACTTCTACAACACGTCCAGGACGGAGAACGGCCGTGTGTCGTACCCGATCTACCATGTCCTGAACCACGAGCCCACATCGAGCGGCGGCCACCCGTCCAACATCGCGTGCACGCCTACGGCGTGCTGCCGCCTTTGTCCAAGCTGAGCGACGGTCAGGCCATGTACCACTTCCTGTCCGGCTACACCGCCAAGGTTGGTTGCCGGCACGGAGCGTGGCGTGACGGAGCCCGCGGCCACTTTCAGCGCCTGCTTCGGCGCCGCCTTCCTACCGCTGCACCCCACCAAGTACGCGAAGAAGCTGCAGAAGCACAACACGTCCGTCTACCTCGTCAACACGGGCTGCACCAGTGGCGGCTACGCATGAGCATCAAGGACACGCGCGCCTGCATCGACGCCATCCTGGACGGCTCCACCAAGGAGTCGCAGTTCTCGGACAGGGTTTGGTAGTAGTGGGAATACTGGCTAGTAGTCATACTACTACTACTACTATCCAAATTCTGGCAATAGTAGAATGATATATCTATTAGTAGTGAGGCATCGGTGGTACTAATATGACTACTAATATGACTACTAATATGACTACTAATATGACTATTTGACCATCATGGACGAAGACCAGGGCGGCCAAGGCCAAGGACGAGTCATCCGCGCTGATGGAGGCTACGAAGGCGGCCAAGGAGGTGGTGCGCTCTCGTAGCAGCACACCGGAGAGTGGCCGTCAGGCCGGGGCTCGGAGCAAGTCTCCTGACGCCGCGCAAGGCAAGGAGGAGAGTCCTCGGGGCCATAAAAGCCCGGCTCGCGACTGGGAAGCCGCCGTCTTTGACTGCACGATGGTCCAGTACTCCGGTGAGAGTTCACCCCACGACGAGAACGTCTCGGAGGGCAGCACGCACGCTGCCGAAGGCACGGAGCTGGCGGCAGGCGACATGACCAACGCCTCGGCCGACGCAAAGGCCTCGTCAGAGAAGGAGGCGGAGGACGCCGAGTCCGGCTCAGGCGACAGCAAGCAGTCGCACGACGAAGTCGCCATGGCCGACGCTGGGGTCGTGGCCGAGAAGTCGCCGAGCGGCGCGGGCTCCAAGCCCAAGGAGGTGCTGGTATCCAAGCATCTGACGCTGGCGCAAGGTCGTGAGCGTGCCCAAGCGTCGAAAGCGGCTGCCGCTGCGAAGGCCGCCGAGGCCAAGGCGAAGAAGTGTTCAGCTTCCAGGTCGCCTCGCGGCTCCAGCTCCAAGCTGTTCATCGACTCGGAGTCTGAGGATGAGGAGGGTGCCGTCCACGAGCCCAAGGAGCTCTCCAACAACCTCGACGAGCAGCAGCAGCAATACCACGCTGCTAGCTCGGGTGCGTATGCCAGGCAGCCGACTGTCACGACTACCATCGAGTCTTCTTCAGGCGGGGATGCCACGTACCCGCAGGGCTACTTCCCGCCCGAGCCTGGCACTGGTGCGCCAGCGCTGTTGGAGAAGCTCTCGGCTCCTCGTGGCCTTATCGGCGGGTACACCTCGAGGGGTTCCTATGAGCGTGCTCTTGTTGAGAAAGAGCCACTCTTTCTTGGCGACGTTGAAGTCGCCCGGTGTGTGTTACTAGCACCACACAAGCTCACACTGAAGGAGTTCACCACGCTTCGCAAGAAGCCGGAGGACAAGGGTGGACTCCATCCTGTGTGGGGTTTCCACTGGGTCAAGCCGAATGACAACATGACCTGGAGCGAGGTGGAAGACCTCTTCTGGCGCTACGTCCAGCGCAAAGGGTATTCCGACCAAGAGTTCAAAGAACTCCGTGAGGATCGCACTCTGTCCGCAATCCTGGACGTGCGCGAGCTCCGCATCGAGTTCGCTCAACTCGTGAGCAAGCGCAAGCTCCACTCGAAGATGGACGAGCTGAAGCAAGAGGCGAGAGCCAAAGCTCGCGAAGAGCGTGGGCGTGGTGCGACTACGTCTGCTACCGTGCCCCGGGTACCGGCCAAGAAGCCAAGGACTACTTACAAAGCTGCCGCTGCTTCTCGTCCCATATCGCAACAGCCTCCGGGCAGTCTGCCTGGAGCTGCTCAACGGGCTCCCACGAGTTATCCGACTCAGGGTAACCCCTTCACTTCACGAGCAGCTGGCGCCTGCCATGGAGCCGCCGCTCCCGGACGACTCGTTCCACGTGGTAGTGGATCTGCCCATTACGATCAAGGAGGGCCGGCGGTGGCCTCGCACGGCCATGGCTACGAGCCTGAGGCGACGCAGCCGTATGCTGGGGCCCCGAGTCAGGTGGTGGCCCTGCAGCAAGAGGAGATTCGTCTTCTCCGGGACCGTGTGTACGTCCTCGAGATCGCGCTTGGCGTCGGCCTTGATGGCGAGGCTGCCGCTCGTGCTGGTCAGCCTGGTGCCGTGGAGCGGCTCCGTGAGGATGTTGCCTCGCTCTATCAAGAAACTCGCAGTCTCCATGGCCGTGTGGATCGTCGAGCCGACCTGTCGTCTTACGTCTCGCTGCGAAACCAGCTCGCTGGCCTTCGGGCCGAGCTTCATGGCCACGCGCCGTATCCGGAGCAGCAGCAGCCCCACTCGTATCAGGCCCAGTTTGGCCAGGGCTCGTACGGGGCCCCTGCGTATGCTGCTCCGATGTACGCCGCACCGTCTTACGACCAGCGCGCGTATCAGGCGCCTTACCGCGACCCGACGCCGCGCTTCGAGGAGCTGCGCTCTTCTCCACCGGGCCACCCACCGCTTCCTGCGGGGCAGCCAGAGCCAGAGGGTCATGGTACCTCTTAAGACGACCCACGTAAAACGTCGGGTGAGTCGTCATCGACTTGGGCAAGTCTATGGTGTACGCCGCGCCATGCCGGCTGAGGACCGTGAAGGGTCCAATGAAGCGGTGCTTCAGCTTGTTGCTCTCGACCGAGCTAACAGTGTTTAGCGGTAGGTTTCTAGTATCTAGGAGAACTAAATCCCCAACCTTAAACACGTTCATGTTTCCTCTTCCATTTCGGTCAGAGTACTCCTTCTGTTTATCTTGGGCTTGCGCCATGGTGTCTCGCACCCTGCTGATTATGTTCAGCCTGTCTTCGGCAAACGAGGACAGTTGCTTCCGCAAGGTGGCTGGACTCACGTCCGAGACTTGGGAGGAAAAGGTTTTCCGAGCCTCTCCCCCACTTAGGACCGAAGCCCCGGTACTGCCTCGTAATGTGAGCGGCACCTGAGGGTGGCGCAACCCGTTCAGGTAAAAGGGCGTAAAGCCCGTCGATGCATGTACCGCATTGTTGAGTGCGAACTCAACCATGGGCAAGCGATCAGCCCAAGAGCGGGGCATCTCTGCGCAGATACTGCGGAGCGTGTCTTCGAGCACGCGATTGACGCGCTCCGTCTGGCCATCCGTCTGCGGGTGGTCCGCCGTCGACATCGACAGTCGTGTGCCGAGAAGGCGAAACAGCGTCTGCCAGAACGTAGCGGTGAACCGCGGGTCTCGATCAGAGACAATGGTCTCGGGCAAACCGTGGTGTCGGAAGACACAGTCCATGAACAGGCGAGCGACCTCGTCGCCAGTGACGGTGTCACGAACTGGAGCAAAGTGGACCATCTTGCTCAGACGGCACACGAAGGCAACTACACCAGTGTTGCCACGGTCATCGGCCGGAAGTCCGAAGACAAAGTCGAGACTCATCGACTTCCAGCAGTCCGCTGGGACCAGCAGGCTCTGCAATGGTGCCGAGGCGTGACCGGCAGGCTTCACGCGCTGGCACGTCTCGCACGTACGGACGTAGGTGGCGACCCACTTGTACATGTGACGCCACCAAAACATCTGCGAGACAGACGCGTACGTCTTCTCACGGCCGAGATGGCCACTGGATGGAGCGTCGTGCGCCTCCATCAGGATGTCGTACTTGAGATCCTCGTCGTTGGGCGCGACAATACGGGGAGGATCCTCGGGCTCGACCCTATAGTGGAGCAAACCGTCAGCCCACTCATAGCGGTGCAGCCTTGCACGTTGTCGGGGCGTGAGCCACTCGGCCTTGGCTCCCGAGCCAGCGGCCAAGAACCGCACAAGAGCTCCGAGACTGGCATCGTCTCGGTACCCCAGCCTGATGCGATCATACAGATCCGTCGTGACCCGACTAATATGAGCAAGCTCGTAGTCGGATCGGCGCGACAGCGCGTCGGCAAGCACGTTCAACTTGCCCGGCTTGTACTCGACACGGAAGTTGTATTCCGCGAAGAATGACAGCCAACGCGCCATCCGCTGTGAGAGATGCGGCGTGTTGACGGCAGTCCGCAAGGACGCGTGGTCTGTATAAACGACAAAGGGCGTCGAGCCCAGGAGGTGCACTCGGAACTTGACAAGAGCGTACTTCATGGCAAGTAGCTCCTTGTCGTGGACTGGATAGTTCCGTTCGGCTGCCTTGAGCTGCCTGGACTGGAACGAGATGACCCGTTCGCGGCCTTCATCGTCGGCCTGCAATAGCGCACAGCCAATTGCGTAGTCAGACGCATCACAGACTACGCTGAAAGGCTTCGTCTCGTCCGGCAATGCCAGGACTGGCGCGCGCTGTAAGCTCGCTTTGATGTCGTTAAAAGCATCTTGATGGCGACGCTCCCAGCGCCAGTCGACATCCTTCTTCAGGAGATCCGACAAGGGCCGTGCCAGCTCGGCGTAGCCTGCACTATACTTGTGCAGGTAGTTGGCGAGGCCCAACCACTGTCGTAGGTCCTTCTGCGACCGAGGTGGCGGCCAAGCCGCGATGGTTTTCACCTTCTCCGGGTCCGCCCGGACCCCGGCGCTACTGACGAAGCAGCCCAGGACCTTGATCTCCTCAGCTGCGAACACACACTTGTCGATGTTGGCGTACAGCTTGTTCGCCCGCATGACTTCGAACACACGTCGAAGGTGCTGGAGATGCACCTCCATGGCCGTCTGGCCTGCCTCGGCACGGCTGTGGACGAAGATGTCGTCAAAGTACGTCTGTGTGAACGCACGCAAAGGTCGGAACAGTTGTGTGACCAAGCGATTGAACGTTGCCGGGGCGTTAGAAAGCCCCTGAGTCATGACCAGCCACTCCCAGAGCATACCGCTCGGCGTGCTCACAGCCGTGAGTGGGATGTCGCTCTCGCGCATCAGGATCTGGTAGTATCCGTCCACCAGGTCCAGCGCGCTATACAGCGTGCAGCCGGCCATGTTGTTGAGCAACACGTCCTTGCGCGGGATCGGTGTCTGCGCAGGCACTGTCGCGCTGTTCAGCTTGTTATAAGCATGAAACAGACGCCACTTTCCGTTCGGTTTGCGAACACAGAAGGTAGGCGTCGAGTGCGGGGACTTCGACTCCCGCACCATGCCTGCCTTCGCCTTGGCGGCAAAGAAGGCATCAATGACTTCACACTGCTCCCGGGGAAGAGGCCATTGCCTCGTGACACAGTACTTCGTGCCCGGCACGAGATCGATCTCGTGCCTGATTCCCCTGTCCGGAGGGAGATTGGACGGTGGATCCTTGGACACCACGTCCTCGAACTCCTTCACCAAGGGGTACACCGGGTCCCGGGGATTCTTAAGAATCTCAGAGCCCATGCGCGGCGCGCGCTGTCTCTGGAACTCCTCCAGGACTGCCTGGTCCATGACCGAGGACGAGTTCAACTCGGCCGACGTGGACTCCGGTCGGAGGAGAACCAACTCTGCGATCTCCCCGGCCTTTAGCTCGGCCAAGAAGTCCTCAATGGCGAGCTCCTCAAGATTCAGCAACTCTGAAACCTCGGGCAGAGCTGCAAGCTCGGCAGCTCCTGTCTTGACCCGACGACCGGTCACGCCGTCGAAGATGTGATAACACTCTTCGGCGGCTGGAGCCTTGGCTGGAGGCTCGGAGTCGCTGGCGACTGGCGTCGTCGGCCACACGACTAGGCCCGGCTTACGACGTGACCCTCGGGTGTCTTCGTCTCGTGGCGCCGCCTTGACGGCACCACCGATCTTCTCGATCTCGTGCGGAACTACGTTACCCGCCTTGTCCTTGAGCGGAACTTGGTTACCCGCCTTGCTGGGTGGAACTATGTTACCCACCTCGCCGTGTGGAACTTGGTTACCCACACCAGGAGCGCTTCCAGCGACTCCCGCATCAGTTATGGTTTGAGTGACCTCCTGTGGAACTATGTTACCCACATCGGAAGCGCCTGCAGTGCCTTCCTCATCAGTTACGGTCTGAGTGACCTCGCGTGGAACTTGGTTACCCACGCCAACGCCAGCGGCGCCTTCTCCAGCAGCCCTTGCTGCCTGCGGTACTTCGTTACCCGCGTGTGGACCTACGTTACCCACCTGGTAGGTGCTGTCCGGCACCTCCACTCTCAGGCCTTGTCCGGCCCGGTTGGAGTCGTCGTCAGTCTCGACGGGCTCCAAGAACTCATTGGACGCTGCTGCGCCCTGGCGGCCCTCGCGGGCGCCCCAACTGCTGCCAGAGGTGGGAACATGACTCACCTAAGCTCTGTCAGAGCGTGGGGGACGGCTGGCCCCGATGGCCTTGCCGCGCCAGTCGTTCCAAGGCTCGTGTTTCTCCAGCCACGGCATGCCAAGGATCAAGTCGTACTTGTCCATGTCTAGGACCAAGAACGGCTCCGTGCTGTCGAAGTCCTCGAACTTGACAGTGAGGTTCATGTGGACCCGAGGTACTTCTACCACCGTACCGTCGGCCAGTCTTACCGAGACCAGCCCGTTGCCTTTGCTGCCTCGTAGCGCATCGGCGTACTTGTCGCGATTGCGTGCGACAGTCTGGCGGCGCGCAAAGTTCTTGGACGCCCCAGAGTCGACCAAGATTCTCAAGGGATGATCGTATCCCGGTACACTCGCGTGCACCACAAGCAGCCCACCGCTGCCCTTCTCCGCTTCGAGAGTACAGAGACTCTCAGGGGCTACGTCCCCATGGCGTGTGCCACCCGCACGCCCCTCATGAAGACTTAGTGTTTCCCCAGTAGGGCGCCCCGCCCCTACTGGTGTCCGGCGTTCCCCTGGTTCCTGGGGCGCGGCTTCTGCCAGCGACCCCTAGAGCCAAAGGGCTTCGAAGAGAACTTCTTCTTCAGTCCTCCCGCGGGACAAGCACGTTTCATGTGCCCAAGCTTGCCACAGCCGTAGCAGCGCATGTCGCTCTGCTCGGCCATGCCCAGATCCATGGGAACCGGCCCGTTGATCGCTCCATTGCCGGAGTTACCATTAGGCGCACCGCCAGAGGCAGGGTTGCTCTGCCATACCGTGGCAGGGGTACGAGCCTGCTTGTGGCTGTACTCCTCCTGGAGGGCGATCTGAATCGCCTCCTCCATAGTGTTTGCTTGCACACGGAACAGTTGCGTGCGGGCAGGACCGACACACAGACCGTCCATGAACACGGTCACCTTGATGTGTTCAGGCAGGGGGTTCCCCACCAAAGAGGCAGTGAGCACTCGCATCTCCTGGATGTACTCATGCAGCTCGCGCCTTCCTTGTTTGCAGGCGAGGAAGCGCGAACGCTGGCGGTACTCGTAGTTCGCCGGAAGAAACGCGGCCCGCAGCTGCTCGCACAGCTGGGACCATGATGCGAAGCATCCAGGCGTCGTCGCTTCGCGCGTATACGCCCAACTCTTAGCGCGACCACTAAGGTTGGAGAGCGCAAAGGCGACACGGAGTCGCTCGTCCGAGACGAGAGCCGCGTCCATCGCGAGCTCAACCTCTCGAACCCAGAAGTGAAGGTTTTCTCCTTCCTTCCCTTCGAAGGGTTGAACCTTCAGCCGCAGGGGCTTCGGTTGCACCGGCTTCGGCGCGGCCGCAGTGGTCTGCAGCCCTTGAACGTGGGCGATGAGCCCTCGCTCGTAGGTGTCGAACGCGTTGATACGCTCAACCTGCTCAGCCGGCGTCGCCGCCGCCAAGCTACGCAGGGCATCTGTCCCAAAGATGCCTGTCATCTTACGAACGGACTCGTACTGCGAGTCGTTCAGATGGGGAAACTCTGTACGATCCATCTTGGCTCACTCGATGAGACCACAGAGGATTCAGGTAGTCCAATCTACCCGCGTAGGCGTAGGATTGACTACAAGTGCTACCAAGTGTGACGGGGCACACAGCACTTCTTAACAGAGGAAGCAGGAGTATACAAACTCCAAGTGAACAGCCGTTCACGTGTCTCTGGTCTGCAGGGGACGACTTGACTTGAAAAGTGGTAGATCTAAGACTGAATGTATTTATAGGTTGGTACAGATTTGGCCTGCATACAAATCCTAAGTTCCCTATAGTTTGTGTCATACAAAATGTGTCTGTTGGCTCTGAGGCCACTTGGGTCACTATCCAGGGGAGTGACCGATGAAGCCATCCCTGAATAGTGACAGGGTCACTATTCCATGAAACCCCGTTACACGGCATCTGCTGTGTGGAGACCAAGAGCCTGGACGGCGCCAGCGCCACGCTCCATGTGCGCACTGCGCCGCACGCAGGGTTCCGAGTGGGATTTTTCCGAGTCGGAACCCTGCTTGTATGGCGTCCCCAGACCTCGGGCGAAGGCGCATTGGCTCAGTGTAGCCGCTCCTGTGGGTGTCAAGGAGCAGGGAGGGAGAGTTCCGGGTCACGCGACACCGCAAGGCCGACGAAGAAGGAGGGACATGGACGGAGGAAGCAGGAAGGGAGGAGAGGGGAGGCGATATCAACAGCGCGCCCCCCCCCCCCCCCGCGAGCCGACGTTGTCCAAAATGATGATCAACTGTCGAAAGGGAGGCGCTACCCATGCTGGCGCTGCAGACGCAGCTGCAGTTGGTCCTAACTGTTCGTCTGACGGAGGCGGCCCCCACCGCAAGCGCGCCAAGAAGGGCCTGCGCCAAGGACGCAGTCAATAATGCAGCTGCCGAGCTGACCGTCAACACGCAGGTTTAGCGCGGCCAGACCTGCTGGTGGACATGGTGCAGCTCTGTCTGGGGATATGAGGTCGCGCATGCCAAGGACGCGGTGTAGAGCTGGGTGGAGCGGGACCAGGACAAGGACAAGAAGAACGTGGATTTTGACAAGACCGCGGGCAAGCTGCCGACCAATCCATCTACGGCCAGTTGGTGGCCGTCGTGCGGCGCGCCATGCTCGCGGCAGGGGAGACAGCGGCCTCCGAGCTGCTGATGATGGTGCTGGACTGGAGTCTGACGCGCCCGACGCCCGCGCACTGGATGTGGCTGCTGCTGCTCGCACATGAACTCGTAGAGTTCTGTTCTGCGTGGCTATTGCGCGCTACCACGAGGATGAGGAGGAGGTGACCGAGTTCCTGCCCGTGCTGGAGCTCCTGGCTACCAAGAACCCGGCACCGATGGTGGACATCCTACGTGACTTGCTGGACGAGTGCGTGGCAAACGACGAAGTGTCGGTTGGGCCAGGACTATCAGCGTTGAACGTGGTGTCTCGACTTGTGGCTCTGGCGCGGCTCGACGGTGCTTGTGAGTTCGTGTGATGATAACCTCCAGTGGGTACGTCACTAGCGGCCAAACTCACGGCTTAGAACGGCAGCAGTAATGGGAGTGTCAGTGTTTCCTCGGCAGGTTTCGAGGCGCAACTTCTGAATTTCCTCCGGGGCGAAGCACAGAGCTGTCAAATTCGGCCTCCAGTTGCTGTTAAATCTGAGGGAGTCAGAGTTGTTGCCACAGGTTGCAGCTTCCGAGGTCTCATTCCAGAAGAGGTTCTTGAATTTGCTGGATCTGAGTGTCTTCGTGTGCGTTCGGCAAGGGAATCTACCGCTTCCTCCCGTACATCTGCCAGAACACACTTCGGTTGCTGCAAACGATGGTCCCAGCTCACGAAACGACAGAGGATGATTATATGCAGTCAGGCGAAGACGAAAATGTATCGAAGGAGGTCGCTTAACAGCGTTTTGTGCGCAAGGTGTCGGGGGGGGGGGGGGGGGGGCTTTTCTCGCCGTTGCGATAATATCTGCCGAGCTTGTGCTACAGGGCGATAAAGCGTCGAGGGTGCTGACTGTGCGGAGTGACAGTGATTTACAAAGTCACCTGCAGTCTTTAATTAATGATGATTGCGTTCCGAGTGCTGGCGCTCGACGGAGGCGTTGCGCACTATCTGTCGTCATGTTCGCATCCGTGTGGTTGGATGCTCCACTGAGCACGACGTCTGCAACAAACATCCCGACACATTTCCCGAACGGAGTAAACTTTGCCGACATGGACAAGGACGGCGATCAACTGGACGAGCGGCAGGTCATTATGAACCGGGCGCCTCCACCAAGACCGTAGGTATCTTCACTAAATCATTCCGATTTTTCAAAACAACAGGGTGGATCACCAAATGGGCGGAGCTTGCCACTAAGAAAAAAAGTTAGAAGAACTTCATGCAGGGTTGAATTTACCAGTACCACTTACAGTTTAGTTCGGGCACTCTTCAGGCCGGCAACATCCATGATCATCAATGCTTAGTCTCCGTAAATCCACGTTTCATCGCCTGGTTGCCGGAGTGCACTGCAGACGTGGCTCTGGTGCAATCGGGTATTTGAGTGTCCACCACACGCGCTATGTGCCTGAGAGGAGAATCCAGCTGGAAATCCTTCGTTTCGTTTCGTTTTAAGTTGAGGTACATTACAGTCATTTAGCCTAACTAACGACCTAGAAAATGCCCGGCCCTCCAGCCCTTAAGGATCGTTGGAGGGTGTGCTGCCTACTCCCTAAGTGTGGCAGCTGATACACACGTGTTACGATATGCCAGTGAGCTGGGAAATCCTTCATATCGCTCGTCTTTTGGACGGGCGACATGAATTTGACAAGAGCACCAAAGCACTTAGGTTCTTCTCCTCCTGCAGGCCCTTCAACATCGGCCTTGAAGAGTTTTCAAAGAGCTACTGGAGCGCCGTGGTTGAGCGTGCCAGCCACCGCAAACTTCAGCAGGTTAGCCATGGCAAGGCTGTTCACAATGCGGATGTCCTCAACGTACTCGAAGTCAATCAGCGGGATCATCACCTGCGCTAGGGCCGACTGGTACAGCGTGTTGCACGCATTGGTCTTGCGTTTGTGTTGATCTCCAGACACTTCTTGCCCACACCACGGATCTCGAGCGTCATCGTGTCCTTGTCATCAGCCGTCTGGCCATCCTCCTCGACATCGTCAGCGACGACATCGGACACGGCTGAATCTGCGCCTGCTTAATCAGAGCCGGGATACAATCCTCCTTCAGGATGCTGCCAATGCGCACGCACAACTGCGCAACGTGAGTGCGTGCACCTCGGGGACCTCCAGCTCTTCGCTGGACTGCACGCGGACCAGCATCTCCCTGATCTCCTTGGCGTCGTTCACGAAGCGCTCCTTGCTTGCAGCACAGTAGCGAGTACTCCTTGCCGTGGGTGTTGGTCAGAACCTCCTTGGCAAGTGGGCTGAAAATGTCGTAGATGCGCAGGAACTTGTCGCCGATCACCTTCGCGACACTAGCCACGGCAGTGATTGCCTGCTCCTGGACCTGACGCGGGCACGAATGCATCGCGTTGAACAGGGCTCGAGCAGAGACTGGGTGTACGGGGCGACGTACTTGTTGTGCACACGTTCGTGTTGCAGAAGTTGATCTCCATGCAGGCGGCCAGAGCGCACGTGCACAGCGCACACTGCTCGTTTTGGATCAGCACCGTGAGCGCCGCAACGGCCACGGCGTGGAACTTGGCCTGGGAGTTCTTGCCCTTCTCAACCTCGCCGAAGTCCTCAGCGATCTGGCCAATACTGTGCAGAGCAGCGTACTGAGTTCTGGTCGCTCAGGAACGGCAGCACCATGCCCACCACGTTGTCGAGCTTGCGCGTCATGACCGACTTGGCGCCCTCGCCCAGCACGCAGGTAGCGTACAGATGGGCGCGGCGCTTGCGCCAGTCAGCGTCGCCTAGGAAGCCCTGGATGACCGGGATGGCACCAGGCAGCATAGCATTGCCGCCCAGCGACCAGCAACGGCGGCGGCACCAGCGTCGTTGGCCTACGAGTCCAACTCCTGATTCGATCGATCACACGAAGATCATCGCGCGCCACGTCGTCCAGCGAGTTACCGCGAGATAAGGTCTAAGCTTGGGAACAACATCAGGGCTTGACTTATCCGCGAGATAAGGTCTAGACGCATTCCTCTTCTAGACCTCTTGCGGGTAAAGCCCGATAAGGTCTAGAAGCGCCTCTTCAAGATCTTATCTTGGGGTAAAGCCCGAAGTTTAAACAAACATCATCAGGACGACCTTATCGTGAGGTTATTTGTTGATGCAGCACGAAAAGATATAACGTGGCTCACCAATTCATGGGCGCTGAGATGAGCCCGTTATACCGGGTAGAGTCCTTAAGTACGAATCCTTTCTAACAGCCTTTTAGCTAACGTTAACCCTATGCTAAAATCGTTTTAACAATAAAATGAGCCCTTTCTATAAGTGATGGCGCTCAAAGCGCCATCACATCCAAACTTCCGCTCTACCAGTATGATCGTGGACCCAGCTTTCGAGCACGTCAGCGGCAACACGTACTTGTGTCGGTTCTGCAATTCGCCATACGCGCTGGGGCACACCCAGAACATGAACACACACCTGAACTCAGAATAGCACCGCACGAACCAAGAGCTATTCGAGCGGCTCGAACGTGAGCGTAAAGAGATTGCGCGTGAGCGTGAGGAGGTGGCGTGTGAGCGTGAGGAGATGGCGCGTCAGCGTAAGGAGATTGCGCGTGAGTGTGCCAGGCTCATGTTCGAACGTGAGACGCGCCAGCGACCTAATCAATAACAGAGTAAACGTCGACGAACTCACCAAGACGACGAAGTAATCAATTTGATTACTCCCCCACGGCCGACGCAGCGACAGCAGCCCTCTGCTCCTCAACCGACGCAGCGGCAGCAGCCCTCTGCTCCTCAACCGACGCAGCGGCAGCGGCGCTCTGCTCCTCCGCCGAACAACCACAAGGAACTTGAGGCCAACTGGCGCAAGAACTGGTAAAGCTCGAGCAGACACTAGCTAATCAAATAATAGCTAAGCCAAACAATAGTAAGCAATGGGGTTCTTCCTCTCAATACTCGCTCCTGGTCGTATAGCTCGTAGGTCGTGTCCGCTCCACTCCTCTAACCTCCGGATAGTGCTTAGTGATACGAGATTTGACTTTGCCACTATCAAGAGGTCATTAACTATAAAATTGTCCATTTCGTAAAGCATGCCTAGCAAAGCTCAACCACAACATGGATCGCTTGTGACCTAGAATGGATTCAACGGGCCCTCACGGTTAGGAACGGCCCTGTCAAATTTCCCGCGCTCACACAAATACTATTCTGCATAGCATGATGTGATTCAGAACGTGCGTTTATTGAATAAGATTGGACACTAGTCTAGGTTGGGCGTTGTAGTTGCCCGGGCAGTCATTCCAAGTCCATCTGAATAGTGGGCAGGGTATCATCACCCCTCGTGTCATACAGCTTTAGATATTAAAATGTCCAGATCAAAATTCAAATTGTATCGGATGCTTTGGCCACATATTGAGTGTACAATACAAGCTCGCCAAGTGCCTATTGTCACTGCACTGGTACCTTGAACAATGGTGTACCGTCATTATGGTACAGATCTAGATAGTGATGCCTCTGGATAGTGATAAAAAGTGGTCTCCCGAGGCTATCACTACAAAGAGGATTGTTTGTATCCAAGATGAAAATGTAGTGTGGGCCACACAGTATTGCGACTATCTTTCTCACCAGCGTACATTATTTATCCAAAAGTACTGTAAAAACTGTAATTATGCCCCCTCCCTCTAATAGTGCCCCACCCCATGAAATTTGACGTCTTTGGCTGGGGACTTGCGATAGTGCCCCACCCTCAAATATAGCCCCACCCCACCTTTTATCTGACAAAATTGAATATGATTCTGAGTTTTTCCTCGTGAATTCCAAATGTTTCACATCATAATCTTAAGGTTTGTATATCGACTTACCAATGTCAGTGATTACTGTCAAATTTATTATGTAAATAGACTTTTTAACGCTAGTTGTTTTTGGTGCCCCACTCCCTTTAACAGGCCGGGGAAGGTCGCAGTTCGTACATGGCAAAACTTCGTTTTTTAAAAAAAAGCAAGTGCTGTGCACGCATACGCATTGATCGTGTGAAGCAGCACTGGCTACACAAAATGTCAAATGTAGTGTTGTAGAACGATCAACCACTGTCGAGAGAGGCCCTCAGAGACGCCGTTTGCAACGGCAGCGAAGCGGAGGTCTGCAATGGTCGGCGCGTGGCCCGGAGTAGGTATATCTAAGTAGGAGCTAATACCGTTTTTTACCGACGCCTTGCCCGCCATGAGCGAAGCGAAATTGGCGGTGCAAACGAGGAGCTCACCCAGGCGAAGCCCTACCAAATCTCCCGACCCGATTATTATATGAGCCTATAAAATTTCTACCATCCTAGCCTTAGTCGAGCTTTTTTTTTTTACAATTGCAGCTGTCTAAGGCATAAATTTTCTGGGTTAATCGTTATGATAACCGTAACAGACCTTGCTTCCAATATCACTAACCAAATTTATCAACTACCGGTATTGCAACATTTAATAAGAGTATTGTTTCCTATCCGACTACTAAGCAATACCACCAAACTAACTAACAGTAAATAGACCAAACTAGCTTATAGCTATTTTGCATATTAAAATTATAAAATCTATGCATCGAAACATCAAAGTCTCGCCCAAAGTAGCTCTGGAATTCGAGGTCCTCTAAGTATTTATTAGTAGCCTCATTCGTACCAGAAAGGCGAAGGCAGGGCCGGAAAATATGACGCTACAAGATATGTGCATTCGTTAGGAAAAAATAAGTGGTAAGAAGCGAACAAGAGATGAAAGCTCCAACGATTTTGCTCAACATTTCAGTTATGTTGGCGACAGAAATAAAGTGAAAAAATATCGATTATGTGCCGAACGAGGCCCATTCTACATAAAGATCGGGGAACATTGACAATGAAACTGGAATTCGAAGAAGCACAAAAAGTTGGCGACGACTTGATCATTTCTACTGGGCTATGTAGGATCGGTCGAAACAGCAGTGTGCTGGTTTCCGCTGTGTAGAAGTTGCTGTGGAGCGTGACATCCTATATAGAAGAACTAACATTACATGCAGTAAAGTATCGTGGCTTGTTGCTTTATGTTTATTGTTTGCCTAAAGAGCAACAGAAAACGATGCTACAACACTCATAGGGTAGACGCAACAGCCAAATATTTACAATCTGATATTGTGAAATGATTGTCACTCCTCTCAAAATCTCTTATGAATACCATGCAATTCGAACGATGCTGGCCTACCCGGGCGTGATCACTTACTTGAACAACAACAGTAACGAGGGTGCGCCGATGTGGTAATATTGAGCAGTAAACAAGGTTGTTAAAGCTAAAATCATGCTCAAGGAATTACCCGAGCATGGTATCCAGCAATTTGGGCGATGGGCGAAGGTGTTCGAGTCGACAAGAGCATTCAGACATGTAGAGTTCACCTGTCCTCATCGTGAGGAAAAGTTGAAGTATAAATGCAGCGCCGTGAGGTTGAAAGTGTAGCGACACTTTAGAAATGTTGGTTGAACTATCGGTACTTAAGTTTTCCACAAATGTTGCAATGGACTAGCACGCTCGTACTCTTGCTAAAATGAAAATTAAATATATTCTATGGCTTTGTAATATACTGCCTTGTTTAATGACCAGCGTTTTGGATTTTATATCTATTCCGTGCTGAACTAATGCATGATATCTAAAGGCCTCAATACTAATACATGCACTGGCATACTCGCGGTGCAGACATAGGCTTTTATGTATGCTTGAAGTTGATAGCGCAGGTCGAGTGACGGGTAGCGACAAG